TAATACCTTGAAGACAAACAGCCTCCATCTAATTGAGTAATGATAAATCCACAGTGGTTGACCCAAGCATCTCACGAGTAGATGGTTTCAGAGTCGCGCTGTGGTTCAAAGGTGGGAGAAGTCCCTCCTGGCTTCCTAGAAGAGTTAGAGTCACTTGGGAGAGTTTTCAAAAATTTCGAAAGCCCAGGCCTCACCTGTGGCCTGTTGAGTCTCCGGAGGTGGCCTTATGCTTTGCTAAGTTTGAAAAACTCCCCAGGTGGTTATTAAGGAAGTCAGAATTGAAAAAGCACTGATTTTGACGCCAGAAGACTGATTAGAAAGTGCTAGTGGAAGAGAGTCCTGGTTAGGGGGAAAGAGGGTGTGGTGGTGGGTGAAGAAGAAGAGGAGGGCAAGCAAATCAGGAAGGATGTCAAAGGCTTGAATGCCAAGCTCAGAGGGCCTGAGGAGGTCCTCAGACGGTTGAAGGAGGTCTTTGGAGATGAGTGGGCAGTCCCTTGGGCACTCCTGGGGCACAGAGGTTTGGGTGATTTTTTTGCATGATTTTCCAGATTATTTATAAAATTGCCCTTACCCTCTACATCTGATCTCATACCCTAAAACTTAACATCTCTCTCCTCCCAAAGGTAGTGCACTCAATTCCTCCAAAGCCAGCAGGCTGCGTTTTGAAGACAGAAGTGCTTTTTCTTATGCTAATGCTTCTTCTCCCCTCTTTCTTCTCCTTCTTTTGCTTCATTCCATTGAGTCCATATTCTTGATTGTGTACTTCTGTCAGCCTGAACCCCTAATATGCATCTTTAACTTTATATATGTATAGCAGCCATAAAAATGGAACATGAAAGGACAAGATCAGTTTATTATTTTTATCTATCTATTTAGTTGTGCCAGGTCTTAGATGAGGCATTCGGGATCTTTAGTTGCATCTTATGAACTCTCAGTTGTAGCAGATGGAATCTAGTTCCCTGACCAGGGATTACACCTGGGCCCCCTGCATTGGGAGCTCAGATTCTTAGCCACTGGACCACCAGGGAAGTCCCAAGATCGATTTAGAAAGTTGTAAGATGTAGTACTCTCCTTCTGCACCCCAGTGGATCATTGTGTCTGGTACCCCACTTTGGAGACCACTGCTCTAATGACAGTAGAGGCTAGCACCACTAATTCAACATTTACTCTGCACTTCACCATGCTAAGTATTTTACTTGCCTTACTTTATTGAATATTCATGAAAGCCTTATGAGATTGTCATTTTAGAGGTGAAGAAACTGAGTAAGAGAGAAAAGATGCAATTCACCCATGGCCATGAGCAATTAGAATTTGAATTTAGGCTGTGACTGCAAAGCCTGAACTCTTAATTACAAAATGCCACGCTGTGTCCTTTGTAAATGTTTGGGACTTTATTTTGTAGATGTGGAAGTTGAGATTCATGTTTAGGTAACTTAGAAAATTACAAATTGCTAGGGGGTAAAGCTGTGACTGAGTCTGGCCTCCAAGCCCATGCCTTTGCAGGACTTGGATGAGACCTGTCTGGTTCTCGGTTTCCACAAGGCTAAAGTTGGGCATTGGTAGTCGGGCCAGCCCTGGTATTCTGTACCCCGGAGTGTTCCTCCCGGAGTCAGTCCTGTTTGCTGACAGCCTGAAGGACTGAGGCAGGAGGTAGTCACAGCAGCACAAGGCCAGAAGGCCACTCTGCCTTGAATGGGTTTCTGGAATGATCTGTCCTGATGAACCTTCATGGAAATCCATGTCTGAAGAGATTGAGAGTTTCTGGGAGGAGAGAGGCACCAGTGTAGAGTGGCCATACCTGCCAGTCTTGATAAGCTATTTCAACCAAGATGATGAAACTTGCATATTGGGGGTAGAAAGGGGATAGAGAGGAGACCTGTGGCCTTGGGGGAGAACTCTCCCAGGACTGATGTTCTGAGATTTTGCTGTGAGAATCCCTGGTTGGTATCTGCAAAAGTCTCTCACACCCTCTTTGGGTTTTCCCAAAGACGGAGTAACATTATCCACATTTTGCTGATGAAGAAACTGAGGTTGAGAGAGGCAACCTGGCTTGTCTGAACAGAGGGCCAGGCTGGGAACCGAACCTGGGTCTTTTCCTTTGGCCTCTTCCTCACGTCCTATTGCAGCGAGGGCTCATTGCTGTGTGGAGGCTTGTGATGACCTGAGTGTGGGAGGCGGAGATGTTGGCCATTGTCTGGGCCTGACATGCCTTTATCTTTGTCTAGAAAGTGAGGGACTTGAAGCAGTGGGTTGTTACATGTGGGATTCTGAAACACTGGATGTAAAACGTTTATTCAGGCAACTTGAGAAGTGTGGTCTGGGTCACCCTGGAAGGGATCAGAGCCCCTCGTAAAGCCTCGATGGTGCCTCTGTGATTAGCTCCAGAGATTCCCCCAGCCCTCAAAGGAGGGGCTATCGAAGCTCAGCTCCCTTGACCTGCACTCAGAACATGCAGTTCTGGACGATGTTTGTTTTCTATGTATACACAAGACATGCACTCACTAGAGGCACACACAAACTGCTCTCAAAACCCGGAGCATTTTCCCAAAGACTTGGAGGCCCCTCCTCTGAGCCATCCAGATGGGCCTGGGCTGCGGCCAGCTGCTAAATTTTCCGGCAACAAGGCCAAAGGAAAATGCTTTGAAGCCGGAGATGCAGGTGACTTCCGGCCCCTCCTGCGATCCCTTTACTGTGCTGGCCTTGCTGCTCCCTCACCTTTGCCCACACCGTCCCCCGGCCTGGGGAAACCCAGAGCTGGCTCCTGGTCGAACCTAGCGGGTAGATGTGGGCTCCCTACCCACCGGGGGAGTTGCTGTTTCCTGAGGCGAGCTCAAGTTTGTACCAGAGGGCCCCTGGTTGTCAGGGAAACAGCAGGGTTTCCTCAAGCTCCGCTCTGAGCTCTGCGGTTACAGGCAAATCGCTGCTATCTGCTCTTCACTCAGGTCTGTCTGCTGACTGCCTGCGGTTTGCGGGACTTGAATTCAGGCAGTAGGGACACATAGATAAACACGACAGAGTCCTGTCCTTAGAATATCACCCAGCACACTGAAGGCCACCACTTACTGAGAACACATCTCTGCCTGGCCTTGACCTAAGTTGAGTCTCATCCTCCAACTCTCCAAGGCAGGAAGGGGAAAGCCCCAGTTTTGTACTTAAGATAAACTTGAATTCAGAGATGAGCCATGTGCCCAAGGTCACATAGTGAGTAAGTGACAAAACGGACTTGAGTCCAGGTCTGTCTGTCTGACTCCAAACCTGTGTTCCCACTCTGTTGCAGGTCTCCAGTGGCCCCAGAGTGAGAGCAGGATTATGCGCTGAGATCAGGGGCTGCTTTCCCCTTAGTGTGTGTGGGTGTAGGATGGGGGTGATGGTTTGCAAAGACCTGGAAAGCATGCAGGTTAAGCATCTCCTTCGTTTATACCCTCTGTTCTGGTTCAGCTCCCTGTGGGGGTCTTACTGAATTTAAGTCTGATAAGAGTTTGTTACTTTTACTTCTAAAAAGTAATAGTTAGACCTGATTTAAAAAGATCAAATTGTACAGTCCTGATTAAATGGAAAGCACTAGTCCTTTCTTCTCTAATCCCAAGATCGCATCTCTTCCATCTCTGCCCATCTGCCAAGAAAGGCTTCATAGCCCAGCCCTTCCACCCTTCTCTTCCCCTTTCCAAAGCAGTTAACATTCCTTTTTGCATTTCTTTTTGGGTAAGATATGTTTGTTTCTTTTTCTTCCACTGTAGATTCTATGTCCTGACACCCTTTTCAGTGAGATTGTGTGTCCTGTTTGTTCAGTCTCCACCCTCACCCATGATCTGTCCCATCAGAGAAAAACCCAAAGTCTTTACAGTGACCTCAAGTACTGGTCCCTTGATGCCACATCCTACCAGTGCCCCCACCGCACTCCCTGCCACCACACTAGCCACGCTGAGCTCCTTAACCTCACTGCCCTCAGGTAGCAACATGGTTCGTGATACCTCCAAACGCCCCACCTGGGATCACACCCCTTCTCACTCTCTCCCAACCAAGTTTCAGCTTTTCTTCTTAGTTTTTATCATATGCATTTATTATTTTTCCCCATCATAGAGGGGGCTCCCGAAAAGCACGGGTTTTAGAAACTCTCTTGTTTACTGCTGTATACTCCGCGTCTACAGCAGTGTCTAATCAGAGTAGAAGCTAAAGAAACCAGAGCCCCTCAGAAATTCGCAGCAGGTGACCCAGTGCCCCTTGAGTGTGCTCATCTGCAGCCTGTTAAGCCCTGTATTCTGGACTATTCTTGGTGACTTGGGAGGAGAGCATGCATGGTGCAGATGGCATGGACCCTGGGATCTAACTTTGTTGGATTCAGGTTTTTTGGTTTTTTTGGAGTAGAGTTGATTTACAATGTTATGTTAGTTTCAGCTGTATAGCAAAGTGATTGCATTACATATGTATATATTCTTTTACAAATTATTTTCCATTATGTGTTATCACAAGATATTAACTATATAGTAGGTCCTTGTTGTTTATCTATTTTGTATGTAGTGATTCCGTTTTAACCTGTATGATCTGGACAAATTGTTTAATGTCCCCATCCTTAGTTTCCTCTATGAGGAAAGGGAATTTGGTGCCAGAAAGGATTGCTGGAAGGGTTCGGTGAGATGGCATCTGGGAAAGTGCCCAGCATGGCCTGGAGGAATTGTTCTGGTCAGTGGTCATATCCTCTCTTCCTCTTCCAAATTCTCCCAGTTCCAGGAGTCTTTCCCATCACGGTGTAAACACCTGGACCCTGAAGAGTCCATCTGTTATCCTCCCAAGAATGTGCCTGTCCCTGAGCCGCATCTTTGGGTGTGATTTAACCTGAAGGGCTGGAAGCAGTTGAAGAAGAGCAGGCGGAGCACATTCTCCCTTGGGAGGAAGGGAAGGTGGGGAAATCTGGGGGAAAGAATAGAGGGAGTCAAAGTGCAGAGGCATCTCATGGCATTTCTTTTTTCTCCACAGTGTTTTCTGCTGCAGAACCTGAGACCATGGCCAAACCAGCACAGGTAAGGAACTTCTCCCCTTTCTGTAGTACTTCCCCTGGGCTTGGGCTTTTCCTGGAGTCACTGGGCCTTCAGTACAGACCCCCAGTACCGTCAGTTTTAAAGGAGCTGAAGAGGGTCTCGGGCTTTGCTCCTGTTACAAGTCACAGCTCATTGGATGCAAGTGACCAATGAGAACACACAACATCCTAAACACAGAGTATGTGTATCGGCTCACATGACCAAGAAGCGTGGGGCTTCAGGTCTGGCTGGATACAGGGGCCCGACTGATATTGTCAGGATTCTGCCTCCATGAACTGGGTCTCATCTGGGTGGCTTCATTCTTGGACAGAGTCTTCCTTGATTTCTCATACTAGCTACCAGAGGCTCTAGACTTCCCTTCTGCTTTCTGGGCAACATGCAGGAAACAACATAATTTATACCACATGATTCCAGGGGAAGTCCCGGGTTTGGTTTACATTGGCTGAGCCTGGGTAACTTGGGTCTGGGTGTGGAGTTGCCCCTTCTTGAACTGCATGGCCCAAGAGTGCTTCCCCCTGGCAGGGAGATGGATACTGGATGGGCGAAAGCATTAGACGATGCTCTCTGCTCTGGAGGTGAAAGTGTTCCCTGTCACTGGCATTTGGGATGAAGGTTCCTGGCTTGGGAGGCCCTAGTCCTTTATGCCGTCTGAGCGCTTTGCTGGGCTGTAGAATTTGAGGTGTATCAGAGATGTTACTCCTGTGTGTAGCCAAGATTACGTTCCTGCCCTGGTCAAAGGTATTGCTCTGTGCCAGGGTTTGCCTGAAAGTGATCCTGTTAGCTGGCCTTAGAGAAAAAGACATGGTCACTGTAACGATGGGGTTGAAAAGGGAAAATAAAAAACAAAGAGACGCCTGACTTGACCCCTTTAGTCCTTCACATTGATCATAGATTGGCCACAGACATAATACAGGAGCTGCGCAATCTTGGGTGAGTTCTTTACCTTCTTGGGGGCCCCACTTTCCATTATGAGGTGACTGACCTAAGTGAAAGTGAAAATGAAGTCGCTCAGTCTTGTCCGACTCTCTGCAACCCCATGGACTGTAGCCTACCAGGCTCCTCTGTCCATGGAATTTTCCAGGTAAGAGTACTGGAGTGGGTTGCCATTTCCCTCTCCAGGGGATCTTCCCGACCCAGGGATTGAACCCAGGTCTCCTGCATTGCAGGCAGATGCTTTATCATCTGAGCTGCCAGGGAAGCCCCTAAGTGATAATTGAACATTGTCCCCATCTTCATGACTTGCCACCCAATGCACGGATGTCTTAAGGATATCTGTTCGCAATTCTTGAAGAGCACAGTGTGTTATATGATGTGAGACTAGTGCTCAAAAGAGTCTTAGCCACGGCCTCCCCGTCAGCCTCTGAGCAGCACACTTTGCACAAGTGGCCTCTGTGACCCGGAGAGGGTGCTGGTGGTTATAGACTATGATCCAAGGCATAATTCTTGCTGTTCCCTGTTTCCCAAATCATCCCAGAGTTATTTCCAGAGAGATACTTGAATTGCAGGATCCCAGATGACCCTAGTGGACAGATCAGGCCCTGGGAGCCGAGTGGCCAGGACCTAGGACACGCATTTTTGGACTCTTGGTCCAGTGCTCCAAAACCCTACTGTCTGCCTGGCTGACCTGTGCTTTCTTGTCACCATGGACCAGCAGCCACAGACATCCTGCAAGCAAGAATTCCAAGAGGAGAGAGCTCTAGGAGTCCCTTGTCCTGTGGGATGAGTTGAAGCCCCCCTGTGTTCATGCATGGTGCTGATGCTCTGATGGTGCTCTGAGGTCATGCAGGTTGAGGAACTAGGAACTGGAGAGAGCTACTTGGGAAGAACAAGGGGGCTGAGAATAGAGGGGATCCTGGACCAGAGGGGAGAGAATGTAGTGCGTGCAGGGCAGTAAAAGCAATTTGGATGCTTGGAGTGTGAGGGCTGGGGGAGGGAGGAGGGAGGAGGGAGCTGAAAACAAGACAGATCCTCCTTGACTTGCAATGGGGTTACCTCCCAATAAACCCATGGTGAGTTGAAAATGTCATAAGTTGAAAACATCTAACTCACCTACCCCACTGAACATCAGTGCTTAGCCTCGCCCACCTTAACTGTGCTCAGAACACTTACATAAGGCTGCTGTTGAGCTAAATCATCTAACACACAGGCCATTTCATAATCAAGTGTTGAATGTCTCATGTCACGTATTGAATAGTGAAAGTGAGAAACAGAACGGTCGTGTAGGTGTAGAATGGCTGTCAGTGTGTTAGTTGTTCACTGTTGTGGTTAGGAGGCTAACTGGGAGCTGCTCTGCTCAGAATCACAGGAAAGGCCCCTACCCAGGAAAAGGTCAAGATCTCTAATTAGAAATAACAGTTACTACTGAAACACTTCTTGAAAAATCAAATTAGTCAGGAACTTCCTGTGCTAGTGAGAATGATCTTCCCTCCACTGAGCTGTAGTTTGTGTCCAATGCTCCTAACTCTTAGCACCCCAACTCTGCTCCTACTGTGCCCCTTTCCCAACACACGTGCGTGCTCACATGTGCACACACAGGCACAAAACAAGCCACTCCATCTTTTCTCCAGTTCAGGTCACTCCCAGTTACTTCTGCTGTGATCCTGATGCCATGCCCCCATCTTTCCTTCCAGAAGGGGGGACCTTGAGGCCCAAACCCTTGAAGAAACAAGGTGATGTTACAGAGTCCCAGAAGCATGGTCCCATGGCCTCTGTTTTGCAGAGGTGTTCTGGTTTGAACATAAAGGTGGCAATAAAAGCAGTCTGAGGACGGGGCCAGGGGGCTGGTGCTGCAACTCCAGAGCCCCAGAGGGAGGCCTGGGGCAGGCCCAGTCCAGGCGGCTGTCAGGCGGAGTCCCCGCCATGCAGCCATCTCTCTTGAGTCACGTCGCTTCAGCTCCCGAGAGGCCTCAGGACGCCTCCTCGAGAGCAGCCTGCGTGCAGCCCAGGGTCCCAGCTGCTCACCAGCTGGCCTCAGGGCCTGCTGAATATTTCAGGGTGGAAAGTCCTTTCTCCTCCTCTCTCCCCTCCCTTTGTGGGGTACAGGGCCAGGAAACTGTCTGCTGGGGGAGCGACAGGCAGTCAGGGTGAGCTGAAGGAGCGGTGTTGGCCGCACAGGTGGTGCTTGGAAGTGGCAGATTCACCGGGTTGGTGTGAGAATGACTGACGGTGGGAAACCGGGCGACTTGAAGGACTGTTCCTGCATGTCTAAATGTGACCAGTGCTGGCGCCCCTGGAGTCCCCCTCTCCCACTGGCTGTGATCCTGCTGGCAGGCTATTTATTAACATTGTGCAAAGACCCACAGAGGGAGAAGGACTGCCATGCTGCAGGCCAAGCCCGCCTCTAAGGGAGCCTTTTGATCGGGCCTTGTGTCTGCAGTTAGACTTCCTCTGCTCCATACAGCCTCGTCTTTCAGCTGCAGCCTCTGCCCCAAATGCCGCCTCAACCCCACCAGGGGGTGAGGAGGGGCAGGGGCCGGAGGGAAGGTGCAAACTTGCTGCCAGGACCTCTGCCCTTCCTCCTGTGGGCTCCGCCGTCTTGCCCTCTTCTCCTTCCTTCCTGGCCACTTACAATCCCACCATCTTGGCAGCTTTGGACGTCCGCATAAGCACTGAAGAATCTGGGCCTGCCTCTGTGAGTGCTCCCGCCTGCTCTTAGCTCCAGACCTCTGCCATGCTGCTTCCCTGTGTGGAGCCTTTCCTTCCCTCCCCCACCCCTGGGGCCAGCTGTTGCTCATCCTTTAGCGCTCTGCTCGGCTTAGACTTCCCTTCCAGGAAGTCTTCTTTGATCTGCTCTGGGTGTATTCACAGTCACATGTCCGCCCGCATACCTGTCTACCTAAGAAGCCAGTAGAGAGTGCCTAGTTGTGCTAAGCCCTGAGCTAGGTGCTAGGGTGACATAAATGGGCAAGACAGACTCTCATGGAGCTTTCTAAAGGGAGTGTCTCTTTTCTGGTCCGGGTAGTTGGTCTGTGTTACTCTTTCCTTCTCTGCCCAGTAGTGCGATTAGGTTGCAGGGGATTCACGGGTGGCGGGAAGGGAGCCGTGTCCCTTTCTGTTGTCCGTCCTGCCAGAACTTTAAATAGCACTCCTGTGCCCACGCGTGCATACCTCGGCGGAGCCAGCAGTGGCAGACATGAACCACAGGGCCCCTGAACGCTCGGCCAGGCCCTGCAGTGCAGGCGCCGGGACACAGGAGATGGTCCGGAGGCTCACTGGCTCTCGTGTGCTTCTTGTTTTTCCAGGCGGGATTGTGTGAGCCTCCCCACCCGTCCTGGTCCCCTCATCCAGCTTGAATTGCCCTCCACTGTTTTCCTGCATTCCTTTGCCTCTGTAGTGAAGTATTTATTAGCTCTGTGCTAATTTGTAGGCTCGTCTCTCTCCTCTGCTGGGTTGCAAGCTCATGAAAGTCAGTCTTGGGTCTTCTTTCTCCCATAATCTTCAACCCTTCATGTCACGCCTGGCACAGGCTAAGTGCCCGTCACCACGCAGTGTGGTTAGCGCCCTGGGCTCTGGCATCCTCCACTCTCTCAGCTCTTAGTTGCTCTCCGGGCCCCATGGTTCTCAGGGCTGTGTGTCTGACCCACGTCTGACTTCTCTGTGAACAGCCCTTTGTGCATTCAGGTTAACATCTAAGATTCTCTCCCCACCTTTGCCCCAACAACCCAGCCAGCTTGTCCTCAGATGCCAGCTCACGGCTCAGCTTACTGGGCCCAGAGGAGTGGCACCTCGTCTGGGCAGATTCTGAGGGTGACTCTGGGCCAAGGCACCCCTCTCCCCCCGGAAGCTGGCAGCTGCAAAGTTTCTGGAGCTGGAGAACCAAATGGTCACTGGAGAGAGATGTGGGTTCTGTGTGACCCTAGCAAGTGGCTTCCCTTTGTGGGGCTCGGTTTCTTTGTTTCTGTGACAGATCATCTTAAGTGCTTCTACAAAATGCTCTAATGGTCACATTTATAAAGGTGAAAGGGCTTTGTACACCGCAGAGAGACATAAACACATGAGGGGCTCTTGTTTGTTTTGCAGAAACCACTCCCACCCCCTACCTCAGTCTGGTTCTTATCTCTCCCAGGTTCTGGGAAAGTGGTGCAGAGCTGGGGGCTTGGCTGAGCCTTCCTGCCAAGGGGAAGAGGCACCATCCTTGGGGCAGCTGGTGGCAGGAGGTATGGGGAGAGTCCTCCCTACTCTTGCTGTGGCTTTCTGTAGCCGGTGCTCCACCTTAGGGGTAGGGAGCTCAGCCACTGTCCAGGTGGGTGGTTGCGGTCTGGGGTGAAGCAGTGCAGGTGAAGATGGAGAGACGTGGCAGATCTGTCTCATCGTCTTTGTTTAGTCTAAAGACTGTGAAAATACACCCTGGCTCTCGCCATGGCTGTTATGGAGACTGAGTTTGGGGATTTGTAACAAATATCTGAGCATTTTAGGAGCAGGGACTTTTATCCCATGGCCAGGGTTGGGAGGTAAGCTGGGGTTGGGGCTGGGAGCCTCGTTCAGGCCAGGTCAGCAGCTCACGCTCTGCTCTTGTTTCCACAGGGTGCCAAGTACCGGGGCTCCGTTCGTGACTTCCCCAACTTCGACCCCAGCCAGGATGCCGAGACTCTGTACAATGCCATGAAGGGCTTTGGTGGGTGCTCAGCCACTGCGAAAGGGACCCGCAGGAAAGGAAGCAGGATTCACCTAGGCTTGAGGGTGTCCCCCTCTTTTGGTTATTCAGTCATTTTTTTGTCTCTTTTTTTTGGCCACGATACATGGCATGCGGGATCTAAGTTCCCCAACCAGTGATTGAACCTGGGCCCCTGCAGTGGAAGTGCAGAATCCACTGGACTTCCAGGGCATTCCTTGTCTCTTCTTTTTATTATTTTTTATTATAATGGACTCTTCCCATGGTGCTAGTGGTAAAGAACCTGCCTGCCAATGTAGGAGACATAAGAGATGCAGGTTCAATCCCTGGCCCAGGAAGATCCCCTAGAGAAGGACATGGCAACCCACTCCAGTATTCTTGCCTGGAGAATCCCCTGGACAGAGGAGCCTGGCAGGCTACAGTCCACAGGGTCGCAAAGAGTCGGATATGACTTAAGCGACTTAGCACACATACATTCCAGGCCAATAAAATGGTCTAATGATTAGAAGAAGCTTAACCAGTAGACCTGCCACCCAGTTTGAGAACTGGCACTTGCTTGCTTATGTAGCTGAAACATCATGGTAGGTCTGCCTCCTGATAGCATCACTTTGCCTTTCGTCTTGGGAGTAAGCACTGCCCTCAATTTGCACCTTATTATTTTCCTTTACTTTTCCTGTCATTGAAAGAACCTATCCTGGACATTAAGACACCTGGGTTTTTCTACGCCAAGCTCATTGGGAGACCGTGGGGGAACCCATGCTCCTCTCTGGGCCCCAGTTTCCTTGTGTGTGTGATGAGGTGCTAGATCATGGGCTGTCTGAACTCAAATACTTCATGTGCTAGCATCTCTCTCAGGGGGGCTCGTCAGGTCCCCACAGAGCCCCCCTCTGATGCCACTGCCTCTTGTGAGCAGAAGGCTGATACCGAGGACTGCAGGGAGCACCTCTGTTGGGCTTCCTGGAGGCATGTTGGGCAAGGTGACTGCTGCCTTCCCTCTTCTAGGCAGTGACAAGGAGGCCATCCTGGAGTTGATTACTTCCCGGAGCAACAGGCAGAGGCAGGAGATCTGCCAGAACTACAAGTCCCTCTATGGCAAGGTAACCATGACAATCAGAGGGTTGGGGTGGAGGAGGCATGCTCTGATTCATCCAGGGCCTTTTCTGAGTATTTTACTCCAGCTCAGCTTCTGTGCTGGCACTTCTGCCCTCCTTTTTTCTTCTCTCAGTCAGGCAGGGATCATTCAACCATAATTGCATCTAGAGCACCTGCTGGGCACTGTGCTACGGGTTAGGGCTACCCAGATAAATAAGACCCGAGGGTGTCAACCTGTGGATTCACAGTGGGAGAGACACAGTGAACAAGTAAACACATGGTTCACTGCAGTGAGGAGGCACATGCTGTGGACTGGAATCCTGCCGTCTGCTAGCTGCGTGCCTCTGGGCAGGTTACCTGATGTCTCTAAGCCCGTTTCTGAAGGCCGATGATAGTATGTACCCCCAGAGTGACGATTAAGTTGGATTACTTCGCCCAGGGCCTGTACAGAGTAACTGCTCATTCAGTGTAATTCTTATCATTATAACTGCTCTTCCCCATCTTCTTCCATCTCCTCCTCCCTCCACACCTCCCAACCAGGACCTCATTGCAGACTTGAAGTATGAGTTGACAGGGAAGTTTGAACGACTGATTGTGGGTCTTATGAGGCCACCTGCCTATGGTGATGCCAAAGAAATTAAAGATGCCATCTCGGTAAGAAGCAGGGTCTGTGTGTGTATGATGGTTAGGGGTGTGGTTCATGGGAGATTGTAGCTTCTACAGCAGAAATTCAGTGAGCCCTACACCCACCCCACACATATGCCCTGCTTTGAGGCAGCAGCCCAAGTCCTGCTCCAGAGGGCGCCACGGTCCCTCCAGATGGATGGAGGTGGCATAGATGTTGGTGTGAGGCCCACCCTGTGAAAGGGGGCCCTGGGCCCACACCCCACCCCAGTCGCTTACCTGAGGAAGCAGGACATGGGGATGTGGAAACAGATTGTGTCCAACACCCAAAGGCCAAGGGCATCATAAAGGAGATCAGGAGGACAGGCCCTGGGCTTGGGGTGGCTGAGAGGGCATCACAGAAGATGAGGGGATCCAGTTGGGCATGAAGTCTGGAGAGGGTTTGGTTGACCAGAATGGGCAGATCATTCCAGGCTGGAGAGGAAGTAGTTGTGGAAGTGTGTTCGGGATATGAGGGGCAGGCCGTCTAGTGGAGGTGGAGGGTTTCTCCCTACAAAGCAGGAAGAGCTCAAAGGCCCTTGAGTGTACTCGGCACTTTACATTTATAAAGTGCTGTGATCTTTGCCTCAGATGAGCTATATGAACTTGTTTTCATAAGCTAATAAACTTAGCAGTGTTAGAGATTATCACCTTCTCATACTTTCTGTGAGTTCAGCAGAGCAACTAGTATCATTTCCATTTTAAAGATGAGAAAAGTAAGGCCCAGGAAGATGAAGTTTTTTTAATGAGCCATCACTAAGCAAGCTGCCTGCAGAGATGGCACTAGAACCCCCATCTTTAGATTCTCAGGGCCACAGCTCAGGATCAGTGCCTAAGACCCTGAGTGCTGGGGGGTTTCCCAGCTCTGATCACCCCAGGTTCCCAACTCGGGGCTGGTGGCCTCCCATCTCAGCCCTTGACTCACATGCCCCTTCTCTTCTCCCAGGGCATTGGGACCGATGAGAAGTGCCTCATTGAGATCTTGGCTTCTCGGACCAACGAGCAGATCCACCAGCTGGTGGCAGCGTATAAAGATGGTGAGATGGGCAAGAGGGGCCATTCAAGGTTTTTCAGATGTGTAATGAAGGTGCCCATGAGAGTAGGGACCCTAAGACTCCACCCATCCACCTTTTCTCCTCCTTCCCTCTGATCTGTCTGTCCATCCATCTATCCATTTAGTAAGTACCCATTTTCTGCTGGGTTCTCAGCATGTGGTGGTGGGCATCCATTCCATTCCTGCCTGAGAGCTATTGTATTAATGACATAATGAAGGATATAGATAATAAACAGGTAAACAAATGGGATGATGACATGTGGTAAAGAGTTATGAAGGACGCAAACAGAAAACAACCATCCAACTTTAACTGGAGAGGACATGCTTCAGATAGGTGGCTGGGGAAGCCTGTCTTGGGAGGGGGTGAGCAGGAGCCAGTTGTGCACAGAGTGGGGAGAAGACCCTGGCAGGAGAGGGAATGACAAGTCCAAAGGCCCCCAAGCAGAATAAGCCTGGTGTCCAGTGTGAGGCTGGAACAGCAGAGAGCGGGACAGGATGACACAGGGCCATGTAGGCCAAGGGAAGGAGACGATGTTTATTCCAAACCTAGTGGGAAGCAGAGGAGCCCGTGATGAGTGTGGGTCTTAAGACAGTCACCCATGTTGCTATGGATTAGAGAAGCAGAAAGAACAATTAGAAGGCTGCAGCCGCTGTCCAGGGGACAGTGCTGTCTGGAGTAGGACACCACAGGTGAGGATAGAGAGATGTGTGCAGATTCCATCTCACCGCGTCATGAGTCAGTACAAAGAATTGTGAAAATACAGCCTGGGTCTTGCGCGACCAGCGTGGAGACTGGATCCGGGGGTTTGTAACAAATATCTGAGTGTTTTAGGGGCAGCGGGGACCTCTATCCTGGTTCCCTGGGATGTCCTGGGGATGGGACTAGAGCTCGTGTTCCTTCCTGGCAGCCTACGAGCGAGACCTGGAGGCTGACATCACTGGGGACACCTCTGGCCACTTCCGGAAGATGCTCGTGGTCCTGCTGCAGGTTGGTCTCGCTTGGGGCCCTCTGAGCTCTCCCCCAGGGTGCAGAGGGCTTGGAGCACCTTGTCCCTGTTCCCCTAGACACGGTGGGTCGAGAGAGGCTGCTTGGTGGTTCCTCAGGTGTAAAGTCCTCCTCGTGTTTTCTGGCCACCTCTCCCCCTCTCCCCATCTTATCCTCAGACTTGAGATGGTCTCTTGGGCTTGCCTGGGTATAGAAGCTGAGTGTCCAGGGTCTGTTCTGTCCCCCGTGGTTTGCACAAGCAGGTGACCTGCATCTCTTTTCACACACCCTGTCTCTCTTGCGCTTCTCTGTCCTTTTTCTCTCCACAAGTACCCCCTCCTCTATGCGTCAGCCTCTCTCTTGCCATGGGTTCCCCAGCAGGGGCGCCAGCAGGGTCTTTCTGGGGCTGCCTGAGTGGCATCCCCCACAGACCTGCCCTCCTGCTCCCTCCCAAGCAAGGTTGACATAAAAACATAACAAGGAGCATAAAGAGGCTGCACGGTGGTGTCTGCAGCTGAATTCTACCTGCTCAAACTGTGTTTTTTCCTGTGTTCATTTTCCTTCGCGTGTGTTTTTTTTTTACACTTTGAGTTAGTTGCTAACATTTAAAACTAGGGAGATTTTGCTCCAAAGTCAGATCTCTGGATTCTTTTGAATAATCGAAAAGTTCTGGGAACAGCAGGCCTGCTTATTCTCAGGACTGCTCTGTTTGGTCCACACTCCAAGGATAAAGGAAGAATCCAATGGTTAGGGACCCTGTGATTCCCTGCGAAATAGATGCTGTGGTCCTCTGTGTGTGTGGCCGCACCCTGCAGCTTGTGGGATTTTTGTTCCCTGACCAAGGATTGAACCCGGGCCTGAGGCAGTGAGAGTGCAGAGTCCTAACCACTGAACCACCAGGGAATTCCCAGGTGCTGCGGTCCTGTTCCAGTGGCAGCTGTCAGTCTCTTCTCCTGGACACCCTGGGCCACCACGGTTTTCCTAGTCCTCCCCGTCTCCACCACTGGCATCTAGGCTTTCTCCCAGCTCTGGTATTTGAACCAGTGTCCCTTGTCTTTCTTCCCAGGGTACCAGGGAGGAGGATGACGTAGTGAGCGAGGACTTGGTGCAGCAGGACGTTCAGGTAAATAAGCACCAGTGGAGATTGCTGGGCACAGCCAGGCAGCCCCAGAAGGGAGAGGGATGGAGGCAAAGTAATTTGCATCAGATACCAGAAATAACTTGACTCACAGCCATCATTATATAGCACTTTGCTGAAGGAAGGGTTGAAGTTAGCTTTCAAAGGTACATAGCATATGTAAAGCTGGTGAGATGTATTTTGGAGCTTTTATTATTTGTTCATTTTTTCATTCAGTTAATTAATATTTATTGAACAGTTTAATGAATTGCTATATGCCAATCATTCTGAATGCCAAGCATTGGAGAATCACAAATGAGCAAAGTCAAACAGTACTGGGGAGTCAGACATATGTTAATCACACAATCACATTCTCTTTGGATATACCATATATTCCAGGTGTTTTGAATTCCCACTATATGCCAGTAATACTGTAGGTAGATACAGAGAATGTAGGACATGATTCCTATTCTTCAGGAGTCGATGCTGTAGTGGGAAGCCAGGCATATAAATATTATATATTATAATATATAGTGAATCAAAGCTATAAAGACACAAAAGTCTAGAAAAGGGAGTGAGGGAAAGAGAACTCTGCCTGGGACATCAGGAAGTGCTTTGAAAACAAATGAGATGTTTAATCTGGGCCCTGAAAGTTGAATAGGAGTTTCCCCAGAAAGAAAGGAAGGAAGCTAAGAGGTGTATGCAATTACTAGCATGTTCAAGGATCTGGCAGTGGTTCTGAGTGGCTTGGCTGCTAAGTTCTGTTTCCTGGGGTCTCTTCTGTTAGTTAAGTCCCACTTCTCCCCTCCAGGACCTGTATGAGGCAGGGGAACTGAAATGGGGAACAGATGAAGCCCAGTTCATTTACATTTTGGGAAATCGCAGCAAGCAGCATCTTCGGTTGGGTGAGCTCCAGAAAAGACCTATGGCTGTCCCCTGGGGGTTGTGCCAAGATTTCCTTTCTCATTTCCTTTTCTGCTAAGTAGCGTGATAGTGCTTCACCCACAACCCAAACACTAGTCCTGATTTTAAGACCGTGGCTTCTATGGTCCCTCATGAGAGGTCTTAACAGGGTGTTCAGCCCCTCCGTCTCAGTACAGTCCCTGTCTTCATGTTGGAGCAGGAGGTGTACACAGTCCCTCCCAGTGACATGGTGAGGCTGCGTGATGGCCAGTGACGTTCACGACCTTCCCACCACCTCCCTAAGTGCCAGCCCTGCCTTCACAGCAGCGCTGTGGTCCTGACCACTGCATCTCCCCTCCTGAAGTCCCTGTCACTTCCAGTGTTACGAGGGTGCCTTTGACACCCTGTCTTTCTGTCTGACTCAGTGTTTGATGAGTATCTGAAGACCACAGGGAAGCCGATTGAAGCCAGCATCCGAGGGGAGCTGTCTGGGGACTTTGAGAAGCTGATGCTGGCTGTGGGTATGTCCAAGGTTACATTCCCAGGGCCTTTGAGAGATTCAGGGACTCTGGCCCAGGGACATGGGGATTGTATGGTATGGAGATGGGAAGGAGAAAACCAAACAGGTGGTGAATTCTGAAGGTTTAGCTAGGGCCATGTGGCCGAGGCCTGGGGGCTGGGAGACTGCTTGGACACTGCTGCCTTCCACTCCCTGCTCCCATGTTTGTGATGGGGCCGAAAAGCACATGGGGTCAGGGGTCAGGAAGTCATGACCAGGAGAGCAGGTTTTGTGGAGCATCTGCTGTGTGCCTGGTGCTCCGCTGAGTGTTTGCTGTTTACAAATGACCCAGGAGTGGACACTGTCATCATCTCCATTTCACGGATGAGAAGACCGCAGCTCACAGAGGCTGTGTCTCTTGCCAGTGGGTAGTTTTGTAATGAATTGGGGTACTGTAGGCATGCGGGAAGCCAGGAGCTTGACCAGTCAATAGTGGAGTCAAGATTCAAAACTCAGGCTTCTTCTCAGTCTGCTGTTGACTTGGAGAAAGTCACTTACACTGAATGGGCCTCAGTTTCCTCATCTGGTAAATGGGGATGGGGAGTGAGCCTCCTGATCCAGAGGCTGTGGGCACGTCCTGACATTGCTTTCCCAGGGCATCCTGGGATTCTGACCCAGGAACACAGGGCTGAAAATGGAAAGGAGAACTGTATGGTATGGAGGTGGGAAGGAGAAAACCAGAATGTCAGTTTGCCAGCCAGACGTTCCAAGAGTCACTGTGTCTGAGCCTGGGATAGGTTGCATGAGTGTGTTTCTTGGGAATGAGCTAAGGCCCAGCACTCACCCTTTTGCCCAGAGCTGTCCCCCACCAACCCTATCTCAGATAGTTGGGTTGTGGCCCGCTCTGCCAGCAAGATCCAGAGACTGGGCCAGTAATGTTCTATCATAGCAGACTCTAAAGAACCACCTTGCCTAGCCCCACCTCAGGTCCTTCCCACCTGACCCAGTTCCTTGAAACACCAAAGGACCAGAAAGATGAAGGCGGTCTTTGCACTTCCGGCATTACAACAGGCCCATGTTCTGATTTCTCTATCCCCTGGGTTTGTGATAAAAGTGGTGGGTCTGGGGTCCTCAGGGATTTCAGATTATCAGGAATCAGGATTCTTCTCAGGTTTGAACTTGGTGGCTCCCAAGGAATGGAAATAAAGAAGGGCTCAGGCCACCCCATCGCCTTTCCAAGGCAGCCAGAATAACTACCTCTTCCTTCCTCTTCTCAGTGAAGTGTATCCGGAGCACCGCAGAGTATTTTGCTGAGAGGCTATTCAAGGCCATGAAGGTGCGTGGTGAGGTTGATGCGCCCGAAGTTGGGGAGAGGGGCTCTGTGTTCCCCCACAAGATTGTCGGGACTCTGGCAAATCCTTGGGAGTCCATTGGCCAAAGAGGGCATTCAAGGCTTTGGCCATAAAACTGAGTGATGATACTTTGTCCCAGGTGAGCTCCAGAGCCTGGGGTGCTGCCTGTCATACACCTTCCCACCCAGATACCTACCCTGTTCTCATAATTGTTCAGGGGGTACAGTGACATCGTACCCCCAGTCCAGCCAGCCAGCTGGGTTGGAAGCCCATGCTTTATTTCTAAATGCTAATTAACTAAAATGTTTATATATAATGTACATAGGAAGTGAAAGACATTTTGGCATTGCCTGCCAAGACTTGTGATGTTCATCCCAGGGACTCAGGGATTCTGCTCCTGGCGAGTACTGAGAACAGATTTTCCCAGGACTTTACACACACAACACAGAAGGTGGTGATATCTTCATAGTGCACCAGGGTGAATGAACACAGTCATTTGTTGTCAGAGGCCACAGGCCCAAAGTCCCTGCAAGTGGCCCATTCTCTGTCTTCCAGTGCCAGACTGGACCCAGCTGGGTCCAGAGACCACCTGGGTCCAGCTATCCAGAGACGTTTGCCTGTATGATGTGTTCATAAAATCATTCATAGCAGTATGGTCCATGTCATGAAAAAACTAGAAACAACCCAATGCCTATCAGGAGTAGATGGACAAATAAATGCATAGTGGTGTATTTACAGAGCTCCAAAATGTGCAAATCTAAACCGTACCTTGCTTAGAGTTATGAGGAAATCAAAGACGGGAATGACACGAAGTGGGGGACGAAGACGATAAAAGCAGGAGGGACATCAGGGAGCTTCAGAGGGAATGGCAACATTCGGCTTCTTTCCTTCTTAATTTTAAGGTTTTATTACAAACATTGTATTTTCAGTTGAACAGGGTACTCTTAGCAGGCTAGCCTCTTCTCAGTTCCGCATCCCCCAAACCCACTTGTCTTGCAGGGCCTGGGGACTCGGGACAACACCCTGATCCGCATCATGGTCTCCCGCAGCGAGCTGGACATGCTCGACATCCGGGAGATATTCCGGACCAAGTACGAGAAGTCTCTGTACAGCATGATCAAGGTGAGGTGCTCCCGGGGCTCCAGAGAGGGCTGGGGCGCTCTCCCAGGAGAAAAGGTGTCTCCTAGAAAGGTGGAGTCTCGTGGGAATTGCAGGAGCCCTGCCTGTGCCACTTTCAGGGAGTTGAAGGCAACTGCAGAGAAGCAAGTGTCAGCTTACAGGCAAGGTGCTTGTAAGACGTGGGGCACCTCTTTAGAGGAAGGCAGGACTGGGTCATGATGGGGGCAAAGCTGAATCTGGGATGAAGGCTCCATCACTAGGGCGCACCTACCTCCTAGAGGCAGCGCAAGGCGGGAGGACAGCGGCAGGTGTCCCAGGGGAACACAGAGCGGGTTCATTTGGGACTCGCAGCCCCTGGGCCAGGTGATGACTCTGGGCTGTCTAGCCCATGAGACTTGCTCAAGAGACAGATGTAAAGCTGGATGGTTTCTCCTTGTTTTGGGTGAGTGGGATAAAGCTTTCTGAGTTCAAGCTGTGCTCCCTAACTAAAGAATTACATAGGCATTGGGTGCAAAAATAGCTCATGGGAAATGTCTGGGAAAACCTAGAATAAGCAAAATAAGTCTGCTTCTTTACCAAAGAACTTCTCACAGCCTTCATTATAGTTTGTTCTCTATGAGGCCCCAAGAGGGATGTAGAATATGCCGTGTCTATCAAATGTACATTTGTTTGGTTTTGGCATTTCCCAGTGTTTTCTCTCAGTCCGTTTTATGGACTATTTTACATAGGAGGGCTGGGCTAGGGTTATCTGGTGGCAGGGGTGTGTTGGGGCCCTCTCACACTGGCTTGGGAAGCATCTCTTCTTCTTTTTCTAATTTTTAAAAATATGTACTTATTTGTCTGCACCAGGTCTTAGCTGCAGCACTCCAGGTCTTTGTTGTGGTATGTGGGATCTTTAGTTGAGGCATGTAGGATCTAGTCCCCTGACCAGGGATAGAACCCAAGCCCCCTGCATTGGAAGTGCAGAGTCTGAGCCACTGGACTATCAATGAAGTCCCCAAAGCATCTATTCTTAATTCCATGTGCAGTGAAGTCATACTGGTAGCTTGGAATTGTCCATTAGAGGAAATTAGCAATCGCTACAAACCAGGTCTTTTTCTCTTTTTCCCAATGAGCCAGTTGGTAAGTGCTTACCATCACACCACTATTTAGTGGTGACCGAGAGTGACAGCTGCTGTAAATCCATGGTCAGCCTGCCCCTGTTTGGGGCTATGCAGGACCTCCCCTTCTTGTCTGAGAGAATCCCAGGGCTGGGTGAGAAGTGACCTTTCTCTCTGTCTTTCTCCCCAGAATGACACCTCTGGCGAATACAAGAAGGCTCTGCTGAAGCTGTGTGGGGGAGATGATGAGTAAGTGGCCTCCTGGCCCCAGGCTGGAGGGCGTGGCCTCAGGTGTGGCCGGTCAGGATTCTCCTGGCCTCATCCTGATGGATGGATGGATGGATGGATGGATAGATTAGATGGACTTGGGAATTCCCTGAAGGTCAGAACACCACACAGGTGAAATGACGTCTAAGCGTCCATGTACGCGCACATGAGTGTGGTCTCCCTTACATGGAGACGTCTGCTCGTGTAAACTTGGAAAGCAGTCTAGGGATGTGGATCAACAATCATAATATGACAGTCTAGGCCCTGCTACTAACTTCTCAGCTGCTTCTCTGGTTCATCATCTGTTAAGTGGAAAAAGTACAGATGCCTGCCCTGGCTACTCATTTATTCAGCATCTATGCATTAAGCACTCTCCACCTGCAGGCCTTGAGGGGAAGCACTGATGAAGCCTCCAGCCTAGAAAGGCACACAGACCTGGGCATGTGTACATGGTGGGGAAGTGTATGTGTCTATGTGCACTCTCCAGGTGGGAGTGGGGAGGCTCCTGGAGATAATGAGGCTGAGATCCAAGGAGAAAGGTGATAAGGTGAAGACAAGGCCTGGAGGGAGAGTGTTTGGGGTGGAGAGAGAGCCTGGAGATAAGAAGGTGCTGCCTGGCTCATTTATGTAGCTGAGGTCACACTTTTGTGTCGCACCGGGGAGATATGAGACTGAGAGGTGGGCAGGGCCTGGGACTTCTTCCTGGCACATGAATCTCCCCTAAGGAGAGCAGAGAACCAGCCACTGGAGGAGGATTAAACTGGGGCATGACTTGACCAGATTTGGGTTGCTGGGAAGGGAACTACAGGTGCTCTGATTTCCCTTCTCCGGGACTTCTAAGGATCCAGTTAAACAGGGAGTACAAGAGCCTCCTGTTTACCTTTGGTAGGTGCCTTAGGAGCCGGTTCAGTTCAGCAGATATTTACCTGGCAGCTGGTAAACCAAGATGCTTGGCAGAAGGAGAGGTAGAGATGACATGGCTCGAAGCTGGTCGTAGACATGTTTGAGAGGGGAGACTTAGATAGGAAGGGGTAGGATGAGGGGTTCGAGAAATCTTCTCCTGCCTGGGGCTGGGGGCCAGGAAGGCTGCTGGTCAGAGCTAGCATTGTTGGGAGTCGAAACAGGGTTCTCAGAAGTGGAGGGAGGGCTCTGGTGAGTGGGTGAGGCCCAGGCTGAAGAGAGGGTAAAGCCAGATGGGTCTACTCGAAGTGTGTGTGTGCATGTTGTATGTGTGAAGTGTGCCCACGATGACCTTCCCTCCTGTCCTCTCCCTAACACCCTCCATTCCAGTGCTGCTGGCCAGTTCTTCCCGGAGGCAGCGCAGGTGGCCTATCAGATGTGGGAGCTTAGTGCAGTGGCTCGAGTAGAGGTCAGACCCTCCCCACCTCCCGCTTGACCTCTTGACCACTGCTCTGCCCGCACCTTCCTGCTGCTCTGGTTGGCACCCAGCTGCCCCCTGGTGGCCAACCAGAGACACTGAGTCTCACGTCTTGAAGCTTCCTGTTTTCTGCAGAGTGATGGATTGGTGGGCGGGCACCCTGGTGTTGGCATCTGATTCCTACATTCACCTCTAACACGCTGGGGAGCCTTCTGGCCCACTAACTACGTACAGATCTTGCTGAATGGAGATTTGGTTGGTTCTTTGGAGGGGCCTATTCCATCCTGGGTCCAATAGTTGGGTTTTGGAGGCGTGGAAGCTGAGAACAGATGGGCATCCCTGGGGGTACTAGAGGATTCTTGGTTGTCCTGAGCATCCTCAGACCCAGGGTCTACACAGGGCAAAAATAAAAAGTTTCACAGAAGTCATCAGGGCAAACCAGCCCCAAGGTAGCACTTGGCCCCTACAAATATATTTGGAACCTTGGACTCTATTGCTCACTTGCTAGCTACCTTTGGCAGGCCCCCACCTCTCTCTGTCTCCCTCTCCAAAGAGGCTGTTGGACATGGCGGTCCGGGTGCCCTCCAAGGGCTCCTGGGCACTGATGCTCTAGGACAGTGTTTCCCAAATTGTAAGGCAAGAGCTGTCATTGAAGATGATCTTAAGTCATATGAGAAATGAGTTGAGTTTTTTTGTATGTGGAGGAGAGACCTGCATGGCATTAAATAACACTGACCGTCATGCAGTGTGAAAGCTACTCCACTTTAGTTTAATCAATATTTAAATTAGTAATCAATTATTATTAATGCAAGGAGGAAGTCTCAGTTTGGTGCCACATCCTTGCCACAGTCTCTGATGTTCCCTTTTCATGAAGAGCTGAGAGAGCTAGCTTCAGGTTCAGAGCTCTTGGCGAGCCATGGTATCTTGTTAAATTTGGTGATATTTGAAAGCATATAGTTTTGTTTTTATGGCATTTATTTTTGCCGGTTATCTGATTATGACACATGACACCATATTGCTTTCATTCATTAACTCACTGAGCAGATATTTTTTGAGTGCTTACCCTTGTGTCAGGTACTTGCGTTATATCAAAGAACAAAATGGACCAAAACCCTTGCCCTTTAGGAGTATTCAGTGCACTTCAAAATGAATGCATTTAAGTAAAACAGAAAAGTAGCTGAATTAAGTTAAAATGTTAAGAAATAGCATAGGGTGTGGGCAGATTCAGAAAACATTGTGAAGGTCATTTGGGGGAAATGAAATCTGGGCAGCTCTGTTCCAATATTTCAGAACATTTCAGTTACCTTTTCAGGGAGAGCATTGCCCTGTGAAACGAGAAGACCGTGGGAGCAGGGCTGTGTTGTGAGAGCCTGGTGGGGCCAGAGCTGGCTCCTGGGGCAGGAGCCCGGCCCCTCTGCCCTTGACAGCATTTGCCCTGCTCCCAAGCCTGGGACTGTCTCTCTCCTCCTTCCTCTCTCAGCTCTAGGGCAGGGGTCTGTCTGCTGTGCCTTCACCCCCGCCTTTTTCCCCCAAGCTGCTTGGTTTGGGGCTCTTGGGGAAAGCCTCCCCTCCTTCGCATGCTCCTCTCCTGGTCTGGCCCCTGGGGGGCCTCCAGACACCTGCTGACTCACTTTCTGCCTCTTGTAGCTGAAAGGAACCGTGCATCCAGCTGGCGACTTCAACCCTGATGCAGATGCCAAAGCCTTGCGGAAAGCCATGAAGGGGCTTGGTAAGGGGCACCTGAAAGGGGTCGGGTTAGACTCTGGGGCAGAGGAGGATGGCAGGTCTGCAATGGGACCGGCAGGGGCAAAGCTGAGGCTTCAGACTGGAGTCTGCAGGATAATAAGGACTTTATTTGCCTTGAGTCTCCACCCCCCTGGAGCCTCCTCCAGCTCCCTTAAGTATAGAGAGAAGGGTAGTGAAGGGGTTTGTCAGTAACATTCCCAGAGACCAAGGTGCTCCCAGGTCCTGGTATAGAAGTGCTAGGTGATGAGGTGGGGTTTTTGCTCTGGCTTTTTTGCTAATTCACCATGTGACTTTGAGCAAGTCCCATAACCCACCTAGGGGTGTCAGGATCCCATGCATAAAATAAGCAATGTGGACCCTGCAACCTGAGGCCAGTTCTGGGGTAGGGACGCCCCCTGTTGGTCACCCATGTGCAGGCCTCCATTTGGTCCCAATGGGAGGAAGTACCTGTGGGTGGATGGCGGGTCCTCAGGAAGGCCAACAGGGACAGACCATTTGTCTTCCATTGCCCTCTCTCCCCCATCTGTCTAACAGAACCTTCCAGGGGGCCTTGGGCTAAGCCTTTTACCTTCTGGGCCCCATTTTCATTTGTCTCATGAGAATAATATCTACCAAGCATGTCTAGGAAGATGACAAGGCTAAAAATGCTCTTGAAAGACAGAGTCCTGTGCAGGGTCTGAGGTTGATGGAATTGGTCTGAGAGGCAGGAAGCGGTACCCTGATGCCTTCCTGAGTCAGCTTGCTACAGTTGGAGGGACTTGGGGTCCAGCTTTCAGGGAGTCACAGGGAAAGGACATAGGGTCCCCAGCAGGACTCCAGTTGTCAGTTGGAAGGATCCCTTAGTAATCTCTCTAGCTCTTCATGATGCAGGTGTGGAAGTCAGGTCCCAGAAGGGGAGGGGACCTGCCCAAGGGGTCAACCATGGCCAGACAAGGAATAGAACTCAGAAGTTCTGACTCTCAACCCAGGGCTCTCTTTTTTCTTAACTTGTGATCCAGCAGAAAAGTGCAGAAGGAATCTAGGGGAAGTTAGTGACTAGGCCAGAAGCAAGGCTCCTGCAGGGACATAAAGCTGGCTAGCCTGGCCTCTCCCCCGGCAAAGATAGATGGGGCCCATCGCTGGGGGAGGTGGGGGAGCTGGGCCAAGGTCTTCCTCTGATCTGTGGCTTTGGGGTCCCAGGAACTGACGAGGACACCATCATCGACATCATCGCCCACCGCAGCAATGCCCAGCGGCAGCAGATCCGGCAGACCTTCAAGTCTCACTTTGGCCGGGTAAGGGCCTCAGCCTGGACCCCAGGCCCTGCATCTATGCTTCTCCTCTGATGGAGCTCGGCGTGCACACATGCCTCTCCTCGCTGCACCCCGAGTTCCCTGTGATCAGCGGTATGTGTGTGACTGGCTCCCCTTAGGGCTGCGATCAGGGATAAAGCTGTGTTAGTGGCATCTAGCTTTAACTGGTTTCTCCCAGGATGGAAATGGTACCACCCCCTTTCCTTTCCTGCCTCCTGCCTCCAAGGAGAGTGGGCAGGTCCCCCTCCTGCATGGTGTTTTCTCCATCCGCTTTGTAGTGCTGGTGGCGTTGGTTTTGAACCCAACATCAGCCAAGGCAGACACAGATGCCCACGATTCCTACATCCGTGGAGCCCCACCTCCTCCTTCCATGTCTCCTACCTGTCCCAAGTCACGTGTGGGCCATTGCTGATGTTGACGTGGCCTTGGCTCTGCCCTCTGCAGGACTTGATGGCTGACCTGAAGTCTGAGCTCTCTGGAGACCTGGCAAGGCTCATTCTGGGGCTCATGATGCCACCGGCCCATTATGATGCCAAGCAGTTGAAGAAAGCCATGGAGGTGAAGTGTGGGCACCAAAGGGATGGGGTCCAGTCTGTGTGGGTGCTGGGGGACACAGGCGCTCCTCCTGAGCCCAGGTGGGTTGGGTGTAGCTCCTTGGTGGAGCCCCTCCCACACCTGTCCTGGGCTCAGTGTCTTAGCTAGTAGTTCCTTGTCTTGTCAACCCACAAGGCGAGGCTTTGCTTTTGTCCCCATTTTACAGATGAGGACGCTAAGGCTCAGAGCTTAAGTTACTTGGTCAGAGTCAAGGCACTAGAAAGTAGCAGAGCTGGAATTCAGATCACGTCTGTCTGTCTCAAGAGCCTGATTTGACAACCGCGTGAATCAATCCACTAGAGTTTTAGGCTCCTTAAAGATTAAGAGAAGAACAAACTTTACCTGGGCAAAGCCAATTAAGATTATTGTCTTGAAAATACCTGGATAGAAAAGTGGATGACTTACAAACACAAAATGAGGAGAAGGATAGGGCTAGACCCTGGATCTTAGGACACTCTTGAGGATCAGGCTGTCCTCACCACACATCAGTTTTTATTTTCATTATTTCTTAACTTTTTGGCCACACCATAAGAGTGTGTAGGATCTTAGTTTCCCAACCAGGGATCGAACCCATGTCCTTTGTCTTGGAAGTGTGGAGTCTTAACAGCCAGGGGAATCCCTACACCAATTTTTAATAGACTGATGAAGATACCCTTCAGGTCAGAGGACTCAGGGACTGGTTGACCCCTGGGCAGTAACCTCCCAAGACAGAGACTTGTCTTACCTTTTTTATAGTCTTTGCCCCAGCAGCTTACACAGTGACTGGCACATAATGGGTGTTTAACAGATATTTGAACTCAGCAGTCAGTCAACCTGTCTTGTCTGCTTCCTCCTCTCCCCTGAAGTGAGGACCTCAGCATAGTGGGCTCCCCAGCTGCCTCAGTCCATGTATCACCCATCCAATCCAGATGTAAACAAATATAGCTTGTTGTTTTCCTTAAAGCACAGAACATCTTTTTCTTTTCTGACAAATATGTGTTTACCATGAAAACTTGAGAAAACATAGCAGAACAAAAAAGAATATTGATATCATCTGTGATTCCCTTGCCCACCCAGAGACCACTGTTACACTGTGGTGCATGTCCTCTGTCCTTTTTATGTATTTATATATAAATATTTATATTGAGATATGTGCATATAAGCATTTTTATACACACACACCAGTATATGCTATATTCTTTGCTTTTTAAAATTTTTGGTCCAAAGCAATTCTCATGGGAGGTTCTGGAAATCTTTACAAGCTGGTGTAGTCCTTTGATTGTGCCAAGGTCTGGTCAAGGGGTAAAGAGAAAATGAGGGGGGCTTGATCTGAGTGTTGACCTCCTGCGCAGTGTCCTAGAACAGGAGTCTCCTTGACCTGGGCCCTTTGGGCCTCTGCACAGGGGTCAGGGCTGTGCTTCAGATCCTCTTTGCCTTGCCTTCTAGGGAGCCGGCACAGATGAAAAGGCTCTCATCGAGATCCTGGCCACTCGGACCAATGCTGAAATCCAGGCCATCAATGAGGCCTACAAGGAGGGTGAGTGCGGGAGACCTGTGGCCCAGTGCTGCGGGGAGACCCCAGGCCCCCCACCTCCCCAGCTCAGGCCACAAGGCTGTGATAAGCCCCTTGGGTGCACCCAGCCCTGTGTCTGGGGGAAGGTGCCCCTGAGAGAGTCCCAGCAGGACAAAGGCCTGGAGGTCGAGGAGGGTTTTGACTGGGAGTGGGAGAGAGAGCACTCAGGCCCCTGGAGCAGGGAGGGCGGCTTCGCGGGTATGTGGCCTGTGCACTCACACAGGGCCTCGTGTTCAGAAGGCCCTGTGTCTGCATGCTTTACTATCACCATCTTGCAATTCCTCATAACTTTTTAATAAGTGATTCAGTATTATTCTGAAGAACCTTGAGTATCAGTCAGAAATGTTTAAGGCTTTTGTCTTCTAAGCAGCTTTAAAATGGTAGAATCTTTGAGCAGGGCAGTGACGTGATCAGAGCTGTGCCTTTGGGTTCAGCCACTGCCGTGCAGGGGGAAGGTAGGAGAGAGTGAAGCAGGGAGGCTGTTGTCTGGGGGAGGGGAGATGCGCTGAGCGCTCAGCAGGGACAGGGGCAGAGTGAGGTGATGGACCCACGGCAGATCAATAGCAGGGTGGCTGGTGGCCCCCAGGAGCCAAGGACAGACTCCTTCATCCCCACCACCCCGCCAGCACTGCTCTGGCTTAAATCTGTGCTTCTTGGACCCCTCCCCAACTCTTGGCCAGCAGCCGCTCACACCTCCTTTTCCTGCCTCAGACTATCACAAGTCCCTGGAGGATGCTCTGAGCTCAGACACGTCCGGTCACTTCAAGAGGATCCTCATCTCTCTGGCCACGGTGGGTGAATTCACAGCTCCAGACCTGCTTGGCCCTCTGGGGCCCTCAGTGGGGGAAGGGTTGCTACAACGAGAGGCAGGGGGTTCACTCCTGATGAAAAGAGGATGTCTGCCCCTGCTGCCACCTAAGATTCTTACCACCGAGGCGGTTGCTACTTGTGCAACGCCTTCTCCACTGTTCACTTTTCAAAGCTGACTTAATGCCCCCTTCTCCAGGCAGCCCTCCCTGATTGCTCTCAGCCTGGCTTGTTGGGCCCCCAGCTGACAGGACAGAGCCATTGTGGGTGACCTTTCCCTGTGTCATCATCCACGAGCTTCTGTTACCGAGGACCTACTGTGTAGCTCAGGGAACTCTACTTGGTGTTCTATGGTGGCCTAAATGGGAAGGAAATCCAAAAAAGAAGGGATACATGCATACGTGGAGCTGATTCACTTTGCTGTACAGTAGAGACTAAACAACCATACTCCAATAAAAATTAAATAAATACGGGGGGGGGTGGGGAACAGCTGTTACCAGCTCTTGAATTCTCACAACCTGGGTACCACACCCTGAGGCACAGTTATGGCAAGCTCACTGTGCGAGTCTGGCCTTGGGCTAAGTGCCTTCCCAGTGTTCATGTTCATGCTCAAGACCGCCACCCTGGGAAGGCAGGATCCCTGTCCCCATGTTACAGATGCAGGAGAGCGTTCAGAGAGGTGAGTGGCTGAGTACCGCCCTCTGGCTGCTGAGGGGTGGAGAGGGTGGATGTTTGGAGGCTGACCTTTCTTTCTGGTCCTGTTGCAGGGGAACCGTGAGGAGGGAGGAGAAGATCGGGAACGGGCCCGGGAAGATGCCCAGGTGAGACACCCCATCCCACCACCCCCTCCCCCCTGCCCAGTGACTCCAGCTGACTTCTGTCCATGCTGGCCCTGGCTGTCTGGGAGTGAGGAAGGTGCCTGGCGGGGCAGGGCTGGTGTGACTTTTTTACACTGAGACTTTTGGCCCCTTGCAACTCTCCACCCTTAGAGGTGAGACTGTGACAGTTTCCAAAACTTTCAGAGAGAGACTTGGGAGGGTGGTGCTGATTCTACTGACATTTCCTGTGTGAAGAGTAGGACTCAAGCCCTAAATCCTCAGATCCGAAAGGGACTTAAGGATTGTCTCAGAGTCAGACTCCTCATATTACAACTGGAAGATGGAGGCCCAAAGAGGGTGAATGGCCCCTGAAACTCACACAGCAAATCAGTGGCCCAGGTGGAGTTGGGCCACTGATTGAGCAGGTCTTGGAGCTTACTGGGAAGGGGGCCTGAGTGCTAAAGGTCATTATTTTTGAAATGGGATCCAGGTTGAAGGGAATGTCCTGGGAGCCCTCGAAAGGGAGTTCATTGAGGTCAATCAAGGTCTTCTGCATTGCAAGCAAATTCTTTACTACCTAAACCGCCAGGGAAGCCTTCCTCCTTAAAACTCACCCCAGATCCATCCTCCATCCCCAAATCTATCCTCCAGGGAGTTCCGCTTGGTGTTTGGGTCTCCCTGGGAAGCTGTGCTTCTAGTTGCTGCCAGCAGGGGGCAATAGTGGGCCTTGCTGGCCGCGACTCTTCAGGAGAGAGAACCTGGGTGGTGTCCACTGAGGGAGCCAGAGCCAGGCCCTGTCCAGCTCAGCTGCTTCTCCAGATTCGCAGATGCTAGACCCTGATCTTAGTGTGGACTCATTGTCTGACAGCTAGAAACATTGATTTCTCAAGTAATACATATTCTTTTATAGAAACTTTAGAAAATACCAAAACAAAACCCCATAACCTGTTACTAGTAAAAACTATTGTTAATGGAGTATATCATTCTAGTTGTCTTTATGTATTTATAGAAATAGATTCCTGGTTTATAACAGTTAAAAAATGAATATTTTGTGAATATGGTTACATTTGTTTTTTTAAATTTTATTTTTTGGCCGCACCACACAGCATGTGGGATCTTGGTTCCTCAACCAGGGATCAAACCTGTGCCCTGTGCAGTAGATGTTCAGAATCTTAGCCACTGGACTGTCAGGGAAATCCCATATATCATTTTTTTAAAATCAACAGCATCATTTAATGGCTAAGTACTATTCCATCTAAGAATCTGCCAAACTGTTTAACCAGCCCTTTCCCTAGTAACCAACTCTCATCATGTTCATGATTTTTTTTCCTTAGAATAGATTTCTAGAGGTGAGTTGGGAATACTACAAAGTGTACAAAACTTGAAGGCATTTGATATGCAGAGCCAAGGTTCCCCAGAAAAATAATGACATTAGTGTTTGATGGTTTTATACCGCTTCCTTCCCACCCTAAGCTCTTGGAGTCTGGGTCTGTTATGATCAGGTGACATATGTCCGGTATTTACCTGGTGCCCCACAGTATTGCAAATAGCTTCCTCTTTACTTATGTTCCCATGTGAGCAATAAATCATGTAAATGATCTCATTATTATAGACCCAGAATGAAATAAAGAGTTGTGACCATTTTTAGATAATTCAATCTCCAGATTATTTTTTAATACAACAGCTTTATTGAAATACAATTTGCATACCATACTACTGACCCATTTAAAGTATGCAGTTAAATGGTTATATCTTCACAGACTTGTGCAGTCATCACTATGGTAATTTTAGAACATTTCATCACCCTAAAAAAACCCTGTACAAATTGCGTTCCTTTTCATTTCCTCCCAACCCCCCAGCCCTATGCAACCACTAATCTACTGTCTGTTTATATAGATTTGCCTATTCTAGACATTTTATATAAGTGGAATCCTATAATATGTGGCTTTTGTGGCTAGCTTCTTTTACTTTATTATAACATTTTTATACATTTTCATCCATTATCATATCATATATCAGTATTTCATTCCTTTCCATTGCCAAATAATATTTCATTTCATGGATATATATATATATATATATTTTACCTCCATTAGCTAATAGATGTTTGGGTTGTTTCTACTTTTTGCACGATTATGAATACTACTATAAACATTTGTGTTTTTATGTGCATGAATATTTTCATTTCCCTTGGTTATATAGGAGTAGCATTGCTGAATCATGTGATAACTCTTTGTTTAGCTTTTGGAGGACTTGCCCAGATTAATTTTGGCATGAAGTAGCTGAGCTAATAAGGAAAAGCTCTTGTGTTGACTATCTGGAAAATTATTATAGTAACTTACTGCATTTTTCATATTACAAATATTATGATCTTAAATAAGCTTTGAAAAAACAAATATATGTGGGGGTTCTCTGATCTAAAGTGAAGAAACTTTGGTACTTTAGGTTCCTTTCTGTTTAATTTTTTTAAACATCTCCCTCTTTTTAAAATAGCAATCCTAGACTTTATAGCATAACATTTGAAAAAACTGTGGTAAAATACATTTAACACATCTTACGATTTACCATCTTAACCTTTTCAAAGTGTAGTTCATTGATGTTAAGTACATTCATGCTGTTGTGCAGCCATCTTCACCGTCCATCCACTGACCTCTTCATCCTACAAAACTAGAAGTCTATACTCATTAAATAGTAACCACCCACCTCTCTCCCCAGCCCCCGCAGGTTCTGTTCTTTTTATTTCCATGAAATTGACTATTCTAGGTACCTCACATATTTGAAATCATATAGTATTTGTCCTTTTCTAACTAATTTCACTTAGCATAATGTCTTCAGGATTCAACCAATTTTTTTTTCTTTTTAATAGATCTTTTTCTTTAAGAGCTTTTATTTATTTATTTATTTTGGCTGTACTGTTCCGCATGTAGGATCTAGTTCCCCAACTAGGGATCAAACCCATGCTCCTTCCAGTAGAAGCGAGGAGTCCTAACCACTGGACTGTCAGGGAAGTCCCAACCAGGTTGTTTTTAATATGGGAAAGTGTAAATAAAACTGGAAGCAGGGACTTCCCTGGTGGTCCAGTGGCTAACACTCCATGCTCCCAATGCAGGGGCCAGGGTTCCATCCCTGGTCAAGGAACTAGATCCCACATGCCACAACTAAGATATGGTGCAGCTAAATAAATAAAAAAAGCAAACAAAGCAACAACAACAAACCCAGAAACATCCCATAATCTTAGTAGCTCTGATAGCTCCTATTTGACTTTTTTCTAAAAAATTAAAATAATGCATTTGCATGTTGAGAAATATGAACATAAAATTTCAGGAAAAATACAATGCCAAAGTTCTTTCCCCAGTCCTTCTCTTTAAAGGTAATCACTGTCAACAGTATCTTGACTATCCCTCTAGCACAACTTCCCAGTAAATATGTAAGAGTGAGCATACTTTATCTTTTCTTATTAAAGTAAAAGAAACACTTATATGCAACATGGTGTACTTTACTTTCTTGCTTAATTTAAATGGAAGCTCTCTCCTAGCAGTCCTGTAGACCAGTCCCATTCTTTTTACTAGCTGAGTGGATTTCCATTGCTAAATGAACCATAACTCCATTAACAAGCAATCTAGTAATGGTTTCCAGTTTTTCTCTATTACCAGTGAGCACCCTTATAGTATATCTCCAAAGATATAGTTGGCTAGTTTATTTGCAAGAGAAATTCCTAGCAACATAGTTGCTTGATCAAAGACATGTGCATTTTGAATTTTGATAGACATTACAAATTTATGTGGCAAAAATGGTTTCTAAAGAGTAAGGCTATTGAGAAGTTTATGAAGAGGATGATTTCAGTCTGTTCAACAGAATAAAGTAGTCAGCAGAGTTTTGGGTAAACAGGCAAAAGCAAAACTCCACCCGGGGGGTGCACAGGGCTGACTGTATTTCGTTCCCAGGCCCTGCAAGTCACAGCCATTTGCCTAACAAAATAGTGTCCTAACCTCAGAACTTTGTACTCAGCATGATGCAGTGATGGAAGTTCACCCTTGTTAGATGACTGGGGCAGCTGGCGTTTTCCCACCTGATCAGCTGCATGTCCCCACCCCCCAGGCCTCAGCTTTCCTGTGTCCTGTCTGTAACATGAGAGGGTGTGTGACAGGTCTCTTGGGGACCCTTCAATCCCAATGTGGTGAAGGGTGTAGGGAACAGGGCACTTCTCACGTGGAACTTCTCAGTGGCAGGCGAGAGGGGCAGGGTGTCCTGTCCTGTGTCCTCCGGTCATCCCTCCAGTAAGCATGTCCATCGTTAATTCTCAGACCTGTCCTCGTTTTGAGTCCATCTCAAAGATCAGGGGAAGGTGTCCCCCCAGCCCCTCCTTGCCCGCGCCGCATGCCGAGCCGGGCTCCCTCACCTGCACCCCAGCGCCCCCTCTCGGCCTCCTCTGACTCTCGCCTTCCCCTCTCTCCCTTCTCTCTCCTCCCTGCCTTCAGGTGGCTGCTGAGATCTTGGTGAGTGCCCAGTTCTTCACGTGGGTTTTAATGGTCTGAGTCTGGCTGTGCCTCTGGGTGGGGCTGAGCGGGCAGAGTCAGGCACAGTTTGGGGGCCTGCCCCCCAGGTTCTCTCTCTCCCCTTCAGGACCTCCAAAGAACCCCACTGCATGAAAAATGGGCTGGGCAAGTGTTTCCCAAACTTCACCACTCAACCACCTGCCAGAATGGTGCTATATACCACCAGCTGTGAATAGTGCTTTAAGTGGACTCTCATTTTAACCCCAAATGAGTTGTTTTATTTTTTACTTTCTGAATGCGCCCTGTGGCCTGTGGGGTCCCAGTTCCCTGGCAAGGGATCAAACCCTCACCCCCTGCAGTGGGAGCACAGAGTCTTGATTGCTGAACCACCAGGGAAGTCCCCAAATTGAGTTATTTTAAAGGAAATTTCATATTGATGTAAATAGAACTGACCCGAAGATCACTGCGGAAATAAGTAAGTGGTGTGTAAACACGTTTGCCTGTTTACCACACTTGGGGAAACACTGGCTAGGCCATTTTTCCTTGCACACATGCACAGACACACACTTCCCCAGAGAGGCTTTCAGAGGGATTTAAAGATGGAAGAAGAATCTGAGTCTCCATGCCCAGTCCCTGCTTGCCTTTCCCCCTGGCCCAGTCCTGTGTCCCCAAGGCTAAGGTGGGGGTGCTCTGTGCTCTGGGTGAGTCCACGTGGTCCCTGGGAGCCAGAGAGGGGATATGGAGACTGAGGAAGGGCCTCCTTGGGTGACTGGGTTAGCCCAGCTTCTCACTGCCCTCGACCCAGACAGACATGGAAGTGAAAAACAACCAAGGCTTTCTTGTGTCTCCCCTCCCCGTTCTTGCCCCCACCTGGGCTCTGCAGGAAATAGCAGACACGACCAGTGGAGACAAATCTTCCCTGGAGACACGATTCATGGTGATCCTCTGCACGCGGAGCTATCCGCACCTCCGGAGAGGTGAGGCCCAACTCCCTCCCCTCCCAAGGCAGCGGGAAGATCCCCAACCCTTGACAGGAGGAGCCAGCTGCCCACCCATCCACCCCTTACCCCAGCAAGGGAGTTTGTTGGCTGACGGGGACTCAGGAACCCCAGGGGCTGGTCCTGGCTGTGCTGCTAACAGCATCATTGAGCCTCGGGCCAACTCTCCTCACCTCCTTAGGGAAACACATGTGATGTCTGGGATAAAGGATGGCAGGTGGCTTTTGCCTACAAGGCCAACTCTACGGGGTTCGTAGTGGCTGCCTAGAATGCTGTGTTGAGAAGGATTTGAAGGTTCTGTGTCAGGGTTCTTTGGTGACATCTGCCAGGAGCAAGGCAGTGAAGGGTGGTGATGACAGAGACCACATGCATGTCTTAGAGACACACTCAGGCTGCCACATGCACCGCTGTTTGCGGCGACCCTGACATTAGGCGGTTGTGAGGTGCCCTTGCTACTAAGACAGTGACATTTTAACGTGCACGTGACTGGTACTTGCCATGAAATACTTAAAGGGCTTTAGCACAGTGACTAAAAGAATGGACTTGGGAGCTGGACTGGCTTGATTCGAATCTCCCACTTATCAGTCATGTGACCCTGGGCAAGTTACTGAATGTCTGTGCCTTCCTTCCCTTACCTATAAATATGGGATTTTAATTCTACCACACATGACTGTTGTGAGGATGCAAAAAATAATAATGCACCAAAGCGCTTGGTACCTGATAACCTCCTTAGTGTTATCATTGTGATTACTTGCATTAATCTCTATCCCAACTTGACTCGGGAGGAAAGGGGGGCCCAGAAAGGGGGAGGGGTTCACCCAAGGTCCTTTGATGAGCTTGGGGGACAGCTGTGAATAGCATGTATGCTCCTTCAAATACCCCAACCTGAGTTCCTGAAACTTGCCTGAAGCTCTGGGGCAGTGTCTGACTTGATACAGGCTTGGCTCAGAGCTCAAGGCAGCCTTGAGGTCAGAATGTTCCTTCCACAGCAGCCCTGCCCAGTGGATTTAGGTCTGGGCTGCAGCCACGCCAGCTGCTGCTGGGTGGTGGGGGAAAGGATAATGTCCCCCTAAACCCCGCATCAGAGCTCACCTCCCACCTTGGGGGCTTCTCTTGGGGCCAGTCTTCCAGGAGTTCGTCAAGATGACCAACTATGACGTGGAGCACACCATCAAGAAGGAGATGTCCGGGGATGTCCGAGACGTGTTTGTGGCCATTGGTAACTGGCGGGGACCAAGGGCAAGGGCTGGGGAGGGACAGGAAGCATGTCCAGAGTCCCTGGATGAGTGTGGCTGTTGCAACTTCTTTAACTACTAGTTCCAGAAAATAAGCACTGCCACTTCTTGGGGTCTGTCGATGTGTGATTGGTGGGGTAACTTGAGGACTCATTCTAGGCGGCAGGGCAGGTTAAGGAAAGAACTCTCTCTGGGCACGTGGCTGGGAGGGTGATGGCTGGGCTGGGGTGCAGTGTCCTGCAGGTCTAGGGTGTGTATGTGCACACACACCTTTTCCTCCTCCCAGCACCTGGATCCCTTTGGCTACTCTCTTATTGCATAATATTAGTTCTTGCCTTTGAAAAGTCTTTCCTGTTTTGGATCTCAATTCTCCATGTATACAAATGACTGAGTAGATACAAGCAAAGGTCAGATTTGTTTTTATTAGCATTAGTGATTAGCAGTATCTTATTTTATGACTACAACACAATGCGTTGTATTGATGCACTTTTTAAAAAAATCTTACCTTGAGGTATCAGTGGAAGGGTTTCACATAATTGCCATCAATTACAGGATGCCTCTTGATTTTAGGGACTTCAAATGCGAGGAAAAGTTATTTTAGAACATAGGAAGCAGAGGTGTTATTGTCATGATGTTATTGTTTAATTTATAGTGGATCTTTACCAGCTGGGAACAACACTTAGGAGACAGAATAGTATAGTAAATCCAGGTAGAGTCCCATCTGTGCCACTTATTAACTGTGCAGTTATATCCTTTAGCAGGTCATGAAAACCCTGTCCCTCAGTTGTCATGATAATAGTACCAGATTTAAAGAAGTTAATTATACGACACTTAAAAAACACAGCCTCCTGGAAAATAAAAGGCACTGGATAAATATTAGCTTCTATTGTTATTTCCTGTCAGGCCCTATGTGAAGTTAGCTGCACACAGTTTTGTTTGAATCCTCACAAAGTGCTTTTATCTGCTTATTTTACAAAGTGAGATGCTGGGGTTCAGCAAGGTTACATATCAGTAGTGGAAGCAGGACTGGAACCAGAGGCTATCTGAGCCCAAAGCACAGGCTCATATTAATCCCAGAGTAATTGGTCTGTGGAGACACATCTAGACCTTGCTCTCCTCGTGCTGCTCCCGCTTTCCTCTTTTCCCACCTAGAACACGTGTATGTACATGTGTGTGCATAGACGTTCCGCTCCACTTCACTCCATCCCATGGCAGGCCCCGGGGTCCTTTGAAGCAGGTGGTTGGGCTTCAGGTTCCAGGAAAGGCTTTCTGGGTTGGTTGCAGAGGATGGAAGTTTATGCCCAGTCTCCTTAACCACACTGAGCCCACGCTTGCAGTCAGGGTAGGCTCCTTGGAGAAGGTGACAGGACTGGGGATGTGGATTTGGGGAGGTAGAGTAGTGGAGGGCAGGCAGGGAACTTCTCCTTACCTGGGGGAAACAGAGGAGATGAGAGAACAAAGGGAGATAGGAGCTTTGGTTCTCAGGTCGAGGAGCTTGGGTTTTGTTTAGGATGTGGTAGGGAACTGCATACGAACCCAGGAAGGTCAGTATATAATGTGGCCTTTCCCACGGGGTCCCGAGCCTGCTGCAGGAGCGGGCACATGCCTGTCTCCGGCATGAGTGTGCCCTTGGGATGCACGGCTCCAGCCTCTTGGCCCCCGCCCTCCTCATAGAGATACTTTCACATCCAGAGTCATTCTAGCGTTCTGGCTCTGGCATCTGAAACCTCCTCCTTAAGCTACCTGAGACACCCCTTCTGATCCCTATGAGCTCTGGGGCCTTGGAATCCAGCAGCTGCTGAGGGCTAGAGACCTACCCGCCACCCCCAGGCTTGGAGGGTGGGAGATTGTTACATCAGGCAAGCAGTATTTGGGGTGGCACTAGGTAGATTGATGCGAACATGTGCAGGCTCTGGGGCAATCCTCAGCCCCAGGGATTGGCAGTGCCCTAAATTACACTGACAGTCTTTGGCGTAGTGTTTCTCTCCATCAGGAGTTCTCAAACATTAAGCTGTACGACAGTGAGGTGTGCAACCAGCCAGGTTTGTGCTAACACCAGGAATGCCCCAGGCAAAGTGGGGTGAGCTGGTCACCCACCTTCCAAGGTCCAGATTCAGCACATCCCTGGGGAGGGACACAAGAATGTACATTTCTACCAGGTTCTCAGATGATGCAGACAACTTCCAGGAACTAAACTTCGAGAACTTCTGCTTGAAATATTTCTTGAATCTGAGTCTCTAGGGTGGAGCCTAAAACCTGAGTTTTACTCAAGTTCTTCTTTGATTCTGTTGCACTTAGAAGTCTGAGGCCCTGTACCGTGGCTTCGCGAGTGGTTTCTTCCCTTTGAGTCCTCTGTGAGCCTTGGTTAACTACAAGCACCTCAGCAGGAAACGAGAGGCAGCTGAGTGAGAGCCAGGTCCATGGATGAGACAGAGGAGGAGGTGTCAGGAAGGGGGGGTGATAGTGTCAGGCCTGGGGGTGACCCTGGCTTGGCTACAACCTTGGGCACAGGTTGCAGGGAGAGGATATGCTCCTTCAATAGCAGCATCAGCAGCCCATGGTCGGGCCACACCTCCTCTGACCAAGTGCCCTGAATCTCTTTCCTCTTCCTACCAGTTCAGAGTGTCAAGAACAAGCCTCTCTTCTTTGCCGACAAGCTTTACAAATCCATGAAGGTAAGAAAACTTACTCGTGTGTTCCTTTCCCCTTGAGCACCTCCACCCCCATCAGCAAGTTGGGCACCACCTGCCGGGCCAGGAGTTGGGGTGGCTTCCGCCTGATTGATGACTCTCAGCCTCTGTCCCAGGCCTGGTTCTGGGTGAGCAGTTCTCCATCAGGGGTCATGTTGCCCTCTGGGGAACCCCTGGGCAATGTTCAGATGCATCTGGGTGTCATAGCTGGGGGAGTGTTGCTTTTTGCATCTGGTGGGTAGAGAGCAGGAATACTGCTAAACAGCCTCCAATGCACACACACAACCCCCACAGCAGAGAATGGTCTGGTCCCAGATGCCAAGGTTGACAAGCGTATTCTGGGAACTTGAAAAGGACAGTTTCTGCCCCCCTGGCACTCCCATTCTAGCAAGTGAAACAGTGTCTCCTGTGACAAATGATCACAAAAGGAAGGGAGTGCTCAGCTCTGGGACTAGCTCTGGCTTTCTGAAAACCCAGGCCATGCTGGCCAGCCTCCCAACCCAACAGTGGAGTCCCAGCTGCTGACAGAGCCTGGACATTCTGTTTAGTGGGAGTGAGCCTGGGACCCCTCTTAGTCTTCTGTCCCCAAACATGACAACCATCTCTTGAGCCCTGGCCATGTGCAGCCCTGACTCCTCAGCTGGTGTTCTGAGCTCCCTGGGGGGCAGAGGTGGACCTTGGCTGCCCATATATTCCATGTTCTGTGTCTGCTCCTTGGATGCCCCATATTAGTTTGCCAGGACTGCTGTCACAAATTGAGTGACAACACTGTATTCTTTCACAATTCTGGAGGCCAGAAGCCAAAATGAAGGTGTTGGCAGGATGGGTTCCTCCTGGAGGCCCTAAGGGAGAAAAGCTCTCCTATGCCTCTCCCCTAGCTTCCGATGGTTGCCTAGAACACTCGTGTTTCCTGGCTTGTGGCTGAGTCCCTCCAGTCTCTGCCTTTATTTGTGTGTATGTCCACGTGTCCTTCATGTAAGGACACCAGTCACTGGATCTCGGGCTCACCCCAATGCAGTATGTCCTCTACTAATTTCATGTGCAAAGACGCTATTTCCAAAGTAGGTCACCTTGTAAAGCTCCAGGTGGACATGAATTTGGGGAGCATGCTATTCAGCTCATATAGGCAATTGTTGCCTCTGTCTGGCCAGTCCTAGGCACAGGGGAGCTGGAGTCAGGGCTGTTTATGGAAAACAGAGGCAGGATGTCCCACCCCGGGTTGCAGGGGAAATGGACAGGAGCAGATGGACACCCACGAGCTCCTGCCTAACCTAGCCCCCTTCCTCCTCCTGCTCTGTGTCTCCCTGGCACCTGACTCCACCAGGGTGCTGGCACGGATGAGAAGACCCTCACCAGGATCATGGTCTCACGGAGCGAGATCGACCTGCTCAACATCCGGCGGGAGTTCATCGAGAAATACGACAAGTCTCTCCACCAAGCCATTGAGGTGAGGGGCAGGCCGGATGAGAGGTCAGGGGGTAGGGGGGAGTGTCAGATGCTCCAACATAGAAGTTCTTATTGTTCCCAGAGTGTCACCTCTTAAAACAACCAAGACGTTGCTAAATGAGAGGAGATCTGCCTTACTGTCCATACCAAAATAAATTCCAGATGGACCAGAGGCTTATAATTTAGGATTTCCCAAATAAAACAAGAGCCCCTTTTCTTGCTTTTTAAAAGCACTTTTACTGAATCATAATTTACAGACCACAAAATTCACCTGTTTTAAGGGCATGAGTCAGTAATGTCTTCTCCACAGTTCAGTGTTTTCATCACCCCACTGTCGTCCCTCGTACCTGCTTCCACTGCCCGCTCTAGGCAACTTTCAAGTGACTTTCTGTCTCTAAAAACTTGCCTTTTCTGATTATCTCATGTCAGTGGAACCAGGTATAATATGTCTAGTTTTTTCGTTTATGAAGTCCGTTTCTTTGACATTGAGATTGACCGAGATCTTAAAGCTTGATGCTATACTTGGTTGACAAGACCATGGGGAAGCTCACAGGCAGTCTCATACAAACTTGGTGGAGATGTGAATTGGTAGAACATGTTTATTATTTTTTCTTCCAGTTTTATGGAGATGTAATTGACAGATAACACTATATAAGTTTAAGGGTACAATATAAAGATTTGACTTGTGTATATCATGAAATGCTTATCACAATAACTTTAGTGGACATCCATCATGTTATATAGAAACAAAATTAAAGAAGTGGAAAAATGTTTTTTGTGTGTAATGAGAACTTTCAGGATTTACTCTCAACTTTTGTATATTATTATATAATTTTTATATATTATATATTACAGAAGTGCTAATTATATGTCTCATGTTGTACATTGCATCCCTAGTGTGTTTTTGAGTTATAATTGACCTATAACCCTCGGTTATTTCCTATTATACAATGTAGTGATTTTTTTTTTCTATACATTTCAAAATGATCACCACAGTAAGTCTACTTACGATGTGTCACCGTACAAAAGTATTAGTTATTGACTGTACTTACCACACTGTATATTTCATACCCGTGACTCATTTTAATTGGCAACTAGAAGTTTGTACCTCCAATCTCCCTCACCTTTTTCTTTCCTCCCTCTCTCCCCTCTCCTCTGCCAATTGCTATTTGCTCTCTGTATCTATAGCTCTTTCTTTTTTGTTAGATTCTGAGTATAAATGAAGCTATAGAGTATTTTTCTGACTTATTTCACATAGCACAATAAACTCTAGGGCCATCTATGTTCTTAGAAATGGCGAGCTTTCATCTTTATGGCTGAGTGATATTCCATTGCATGTATATACTACATCTTTTTCATCTGTTCACCAGTTGATGGACACTTGGGCTGCCTCCACACCTTAGCTATTGTAAATAATGCTGCTGTGAACATAGGGGTGCATATATCTTTTCTAAGTAATGTTTGCTTTCTTTGGATAAACACCCAGGAGTGAAATTGCTGAAACGTATGGTCGTTCTATTTTTAATTTTTTGAGGAATCTCCATACTTTTTCCATAGTGGCCTGTTTGGCTGAAAGTTTTACTTTCATTTTAGGTCTGAAGGACTTATTACATGTACAATAAACAATGTTAATATTTAATAGAGGATTATTTGACTTAATTTCATGTACAGTCATTTAAAGAAAAGAAATAAAAACGATCAAGAAAGGTAATAGCATACACATCACCACACTGAGCCAAAACCCACATTCAGACTTGAATAGTGCTGGGAAGTTCCAAGTAAAAGCAATCTGGTGTCTCAATGGGAAAAAGGTCTCTGGTGGTGCATCCACCCCACAGGTGAGCTCTGGGGGCTCCCGATTATAATCCCAGGCTACAGACTGGTATTTTCATCAGTTTGTACACAAAAATGCAGCTCTGGTTTTCCTATAACTTTTATAATGCTGTTTGTTTCACTTTGTGAATCATAAGACTTCTTCGATGCTAGGGGGCTGGCCAGGCCTCCAGGGCCTCAAGAACCTCTGAGACCTACCCCCTTTCTTACTCAAAGTGCTGCTTATGTGCTTGCAAGCAGGCACATAGTCTAGGCAAGGTCAGAGTCAGTCAGAGGCCTGCTTCTGAAGCCTAAATAAGGCTACCTCCATTTCCGTTTCCCTAACATAAACCTAATGATGTTCACATAAATTTCTGCAAGGGCTGGTACCCAGCAAGTGCTCAATAATGTTTGTTCAAATAAGGGATCCCATAACACATTTATTAATGATCTTGGGGGGAGAGTATTAGCAGAGTATAAGGGAAGAGGCCAGAATAGAGGGCCCCAGCAGAGGGGGCACCTGATGGCAGACAGGGTTTGAGGGCAGTGCAGAGGGCATGCTTTATGGAGGAGTGGTAAGCATTTAGGTAGTAAGATGCTCAAGATGCTTCCAGAAGGAAAGGAGGGAGGTGAAGTTACAGAGCTTCATGAGGGTCAGGCCACACAAGGCCTTGAGGCCAGGCTGAAAGCTTGGACATCTTCCCTGAGGCTAACGGGGAGCCACAGAAGGGACATGGGGGCATTTATGTGTCGGGGGTGACATCCAGGCTGAGAGCAGCTGGGAGGAGGGGGCCTTGAGATCATCGGTATTGTTCCACTCACTCTGCTCTCCCTCTGACCCTGCCAGGGTGACACCTCCGGGCACTTCCTGAAGGCCTTGCTGGCCATCTGTGGAGGCGAGGACTGAGGCCACTGGTGTTCGCGGGCACCTCTGCTGAGAGATGGTCAGCAGCACCGCCTGCCACGACCCAGCCTGATGCTCCAGCTTCAGAGACTAAAGAAGGGACAGGGTGGGGGGAGGGGTCAGGGTGGGCGCTTGTCTTCAGCTGGGGTTTAGGGAAAACTCCCACTCCCATGAGCCACTGAGGGCCCCGCACAGTCACCCCTGCTCATGTCTGAGCTGCCGAAGAACCGGAGCCATCGATCCCATCCACCTCCACTCCCGATCCTCCTCCTCCTCACACCTTCCCAGCTTCCATCCCTTGTCACAGCCCCTGCCCTGGTCTGGGCTTTATCGAAGCCAAAAACATACTGAGCCTCTGTCTGTGAAGTGAGTGATGTGTGTGTGCTTTTATGGTGGGGTGTGGTGGCAGGTGCCAGTTCTAGGGGAGGGGAGGGAGGAGGAAATGTGTCGAGCCAGCTGACAGTCCTCCCACTGTTTCACTGCCACCTCATCCCAATTGTTGTGTTAGAGCACTGAACCAGGAGCAGAGAGACCTGGGTTTAAGTTTGCCCCCACCTCACACATGCTTTGTGAACTTACGCCAGTCTCTTTCCCTCCCCGAGTCTCTATTTTCTGATCCACAAAATAAGGGGGTTTGACAAAAAGATCTTGGCTTATTCTTCTACACTGACATTCTAGGATGTGCCTCCAAATCATTCCCTTTCCATTTCTTCTCTCTTTAAATAGAGATATACAGGTACATAAATGCATTTCCAAGGGGGATCTGTGATTTTGATGTAGAACCTGCAGCCTGAGTTGTCGCTTTAGAGCCAAGGTGTTAAGCTGCCCAGGAGTGGCTTCTGTCTTTCCACCCTTTCCTGGGAATCCCAAACAAGGGTCAGAGCTTGGGTCCAGACTGAGAAGGCTGGCCCTGCTGGCTCCAGGTTTCAGGTCCCTTCTTTCTCCTCTGCTGCCTGGATGTTGCTCTGTGAGCTCTTCGTCTGTTAACCTCTGAGCCCAGACTTCCTCTTTTGAACTCTTCAGGGGCACCAGATGTGATCGTGATCTGGGGAGGCCTGTGGAAAGCTTCCACTTTGTGAAGATCAGTGATCAACAGGTCAGCTGCACTTTCTCCATCTCCCTGACCTCAGCTCTGGTTCTGCTCTGGGACTCAGATCTCAAATTGCCCAGCACCGCGGCATGTGGGTGCCTGGGGGCTGGAGGGCTCTGCTCCCTGTCCTGGCTGACCTGCCCTCTCCTGCAGTTCAGTGTGTGTTTATTCACTGATCAGGGAACAGGGTGAGGGGTGTTGGGAAACATGCTGGTCTGGTCTTTTTTCCTAGCTGCACTGTGTGTGGCATGGGGGAATCTTAGTTCAGTGATCAGGGATTGAACCTGTGCCCCCAGCAGCAGAAGCTCAGAGTCTTAACCCCTGGACAACCAGGGAAGTCCCATGTCTGGTCATGTGTGACCTTGGACCAGCCCCTGCCCTCTCTGGGTCTCTGTCTTCATGTGTGCTGTGAGGGGTTGGCCCTAACAGTTCTGAAGAGCCCTCTCTCCATCTGAACGTAATGAGTCTGAAAGGCAGGGAGTTACCTTGTGTCTTCCCCACTTCCTTCCCTCCACCAGGCTGTGAGGCCAAACTCTGTGAGGGTCAGCTGAGACTTGTTTGGGTATTTGCCCAACTTGATTGTTACCATAGGTAAATTAACATGGTGATTCAGAGCTGTGAAGTCAGACCTTTGCCACTGACTGACTGTGAGCATGTTATCTCTCTGAGCCTCAGTTTCCTCGTCTCTAAGACAGGGCCCAGTCCCACCTCTGGCACAGCCTTTGTGGAGTAAATGAGATAGTTTGTGGAAGTTCAGGGCTGCCTGGCCCAGAGTGAGGGGCTGGGACCACCCACCCTGAGCCAGGTGCCACTGCCGGAGCTGAGAGGTGGCTCCCAAGATGTTTCCTTGAGCTTTGCTTTCAGGAAGTTGTCAGCAGTGGATCACAGAGGCATTCCAAAACAAATATGCCAGTGTCCTAAAAATACGCACTGAGGGAATAGGTTGGGGGTGGAAGGGAAAGAGTGATGGAATCTGAGGGAATAGATGTCGGAAGGCCTCATAGGCCCGGGGGAACACAGAAGCAGAGAAACCAGGAATTTCTAGAATTCCTAGAAACCAGGAGAGCTCACACGGAGTCCTGCCTGTGTACACCACTCTAAACCCTCGACAGGCAGTTTTCTCAGTTAGGGGATGTTGCCTTCTGAGATTGGTCGGCAGTAGGAGGGAGACCCTCATCTGTTTTGGATTTATTTATTTGGCTGCAATGTGTCTCAGTTGGCAGCATATGGGAGCTAGTTCCCTAATCAGGAATAGAACCCGGGCCCCCTGCATTGGGATTTTGGAGTCGTAGCCACTGGACCATCAGTAAAGTCCCCTCTCAGTGTTTGAGTTTTGAGGGGAGGTAGACAAGATGTGGGAGGGGGGACCGGGATGGGGAATACATGTAAATCCATGGCTAATTCATTTCAATGTATGACAAAAACCACTGCAATGATGTAAAGTAATTAGCCTCCAACTAATAAAAATAAATGAAAAAAAAAAGATTAGAAATGGGAATTGGCATCTAATTAGAGGAGCTTGTAAGTCAGGATTGTATCATAACCCAGGGGTGGCCTTTGGAGGTTCTTTGGAAAACCTATGGGAGACTTCTCTGGCGGTCCAGTGGTTAAGACTCCGTGCTTCCACTGTCGGGGGCAGGGGTTCGATCCCTGCTCGGGAAACTAAGATCCCACGTGCCATGCAGCATGCCAAAAAAAAAAAATTTTTTTTTTTAAAAAAGGAGAGGCTATGAAGGAAGAGAGACCAGTTGGAAGGCTATTAAAATAGTCCCACTAAGTCCCAGGTGCCTGCAGAAGAAACCATGCCTTTTCCTTGAAGCTGTGACGGAGGAAGGAGTCACCACTGTTCTGAATCCAAGACACCTTGTTCATCCAATCATCCACTCATGCAGCTTGTCCTTACTGAATGCCTCCTATGTGCCATGCCACGTGCAAGATGCCAAAGATATAAAAAAAGTTAGACCTTCGTGGTCCTCATCCTTAAGAGATTCTGTTCAAGTGTCCCTCCCACCCACCTCTCTCCAAAACATAGTATCATACAACACGGGAGCTTGTTTCTGTGGCCAAAGTTCAACAGAGAGAAGTGGTGGGCTCTAAATTAAAAACGAAAGGAAAGAGAAAGCGGAACCCAGACCACTGCTGTCTCAAAGTGGGAGCACGGGAGGATGGTCGTGACATCCTAAGTGTGAGAGGGGCCCTCAGAAATTCTCACCTCCCTTTCAGCCAGACAGACAGCTGACACCTCACAGGCCCTGGGTCACAGAGCCTTTCAGTGGCAGACACAACCGGAACCATGCGGTCCTGACCCCAGTCCAGCACTTATCAACACCCCCGCAGGTCCTTCCACTTCCTTCAGTCTTCCCTAGAGGGCTTCAGCCCAAAGTCAGCCTCCCCCCAGCCCTGATCCCTGCCTTTTCCCTCAAGAAAAACACTTCCCAGCAGCTCTGGTCTGCGGTGCACTCGGGTCTTTACGGCCACGGCCACGAGGAAGTGTGTGAAGGAAGTGGCTGGTTGGTAGGAGATTGCCCTTTCGACCTGAGCCGAGAGTGACGACTTGGGGATTGCCACCGTCCTATTTCCTGCTTTGGAGAGCTCCGTGGGAAGTGTGGGCTATTTACAAGACCCTGATATTTGCTGTGGCCGGCTTTGCTGAGAGCCAAGTCACCGCCAGAGTGATCCCGCTGGAGAAGCCCCTCCTCGGTCGTCCTCCTCTGCTGTTATGACGACTAATCGGGCGTCCAAGTGCTGAGGCAGCACGTCATGGATGGACTGAACCGGAAATGATCTGAGAGATCATCCAACCAACCCTCCTCTATTTCCCAAGTTGGGAAATGGAGGCCCCAGAGCTGGACTGTGGCCCTGGTGTGCCCCCTGTGACCAGCGCCCCGTTGTCCTGATCCCGGCTCTTCTCTCTGCTGACGGCAGAGCTGAGAACAAGAGGGAGAAATGTCGAGTTGACTGGCCCACAGTTCAGAACCCAGAGCGGTAAATCGCCACTCCAGCGGGCCTCTCCGCACCCTTCAGACCTCAGGTTTCCCAGGGCAGACTTCCCCTACTTCACAGCAGCCCCCAGACGAGTGGGGAATGCTGGTTCTGCACCGAGTCCACCGCTCAGTAGTCAGATCTATGGAGGGAGGCAGGCAGATGGGCCTGGATCTGAATGCAGGCCAACCACTGGGAAGTAGATAGGTCACTTGGCCTCTCTATTCCTTGACGTCCTCATCTGTAAAATGGGAATGACCAAGATTTCTATCTCACAGGGTTGTTGTGAAGATGAAATAAGGCAATGCATGTCTATCTCTGAGCACACTGTCTGGGACACAGCAAGGACTCAATAAATACCAGATCTTTGTTATTAATCAATAGGCTGGATTCCATTTCAGAGCAGAGAAAGACAGAGGAGTCTCTTTCAAGAGCCTCTGATGATTCACTGAGTCCCTGCAACTTTGCTCCTTACTCTCAGAGAAAGCTAACTGGGAAAACGTTATAAGAAGAATTCAACCAGGCACATGGTAGCAACGGACCACAGATGAACCACAGACAGGCCAGAAAAAGACTCCCTGGAAATTGGATATGTGAGAAGCACCTCAAAAGATGGGTAGAGAGGGAATTCCCTGGCTGTTCAGTGAATCAGATGCTGAGCTTTCACTGCAAGGGGTGCAGCTTTGATCCCTGATCAGGGAACTAACATCCCGAAAGCCAAGTAGCATGGCTGGGGGTAGGGGTGTGGGGGTGGGGAGAGATGGGTAGAAAAGATATTGAAGGAGGGAGAGAGTCCTTTGAGGTAAGATATGGAGGTGGGAAGTGGAGGCGATGGGGTGTGCTCCTGAGGGCCCTGGGCCCCACACCCAGCACGAGGACACCATTCAGGAGGGTCATGGAGATTCCAGGTTGGAGTCTGGCCTTTACCCTC